ATTCAGAGTCCTGTCTTCGCCAACTAATTCTTCAACCAGTTTGTTGGTTTTCGCCTGCAAGTCTTCGAGTTTATGTGACATTAAACATAAGCAATCTGCGAAATCCAGACCTTCTGGAGTCTTTTCACCGGTGGTTCAGTGTACTCCTGTCTTCTCGCTCCCCACAGTCTGACGCATAATCCAGTCCACCACAATTAAAAATATCATCGGTGATAATAGACAGCCTTGTCTTACTCATGTATTCACTTCGAAAGCCTCGCTGAGTTTCCCGTTGTGGATCACCTGACACGTGGCGTTGTCACATAGCTGTTGAATGAGGTTGAAAAAGACTTGAGTTACGCCGTAGTGTTGAAGCAGTTTCCGAATAATTTCTCGGTCAACGCTGTCGAAGGCCTTCTCGAAGTCAATGAAATTGAGGTAGAGGTTTGACTACCATTCTCTACTGTGTTGGATGGCGATGAGTAGAGTTGCAATTTGATCAGCACATGATTTGCCTTTCCTGAATCCAGCTTGTTCCGGTTGCAGAGTATCTGTATCCAGTGCATCTTTTATTCTTTCCAGGATGATGCCACTTACTATCTTACTTGGCGTGGACAAGAGCATTATTCCACGCCGGTTCTTGTACAGCCCTAGTTCTCCTTTCTTAGGCGGCTTGACGAGGCAGCCCCTCTTCCCATCAGTAGGCACCTTTTCTACTTTCCAGACCTTTTGCAATAATGGAATGGGCACATCTGCTGCTGTCTCTGGATCCATTTTCAGTGCTTCCAGAGGAATTCCATCCGGTCCTGCTGCCTTTTCGGCTGGACTTCAGTGGCTTGATCGCATTCAGAATTTCTGCTTTCGTTGGAGGATTGGTGTCCACCAGTAGTTCTGTAAGTGATGTTGGTGGTATTTCTGGGTGAGTTGCCGGTGGTGGTCGACTCAAGAGTCCTTCAAAGTGATCAGCCCTTTGTTTTATTTGTTCCTCCTCCTTGGCAATCTGGTTTCCTTGAGCATATTTTATTGGTTTCAGCACCTGGGTTGATCTCTTCCCGGATAGAGATCTGGTTATTTGATATCATGTCCTGAGATCTCTTTTGCCTGCGGCTTGCTCTGCTTCAGTTGTCGATGTGTCGTAGAATTGTCGTTTGTCTTTCCTAGCACTCTTCTTTACTGCTTTATTCAGTGCAGTGTACATTGAACTAAGCTTCTCCTTCTGTTGTCCATATTTGCATTGAATTATCTTCTCTCTCTCACCATTCTCCTCTCCTCTCTTGTATTAGCTTCCAGGCAGGTGTCCGTTGACAGCCATTCTTCGTCCTGGCTGGTCTCTTCCTTCTTCCTAGAACAGTTGTACACGTCTCCTTAAATATCGCTTTCAGAGATTTTCAATGTTCTTCCACACAGTTTTCCTCAGTGATGCCACGTAGTGTGTCCGACTTTGCTCTGATCTGATCTGTGGTGAACGCATCCCCTGCAGTTTTATCCTTCAGTTTCTGAATATTGAACTTGAATTGTGGTCTGTCTCCAGTTGTTTTCATGGATTTTAGCTTCACCTTGAAGGCTCCTAGAACTAGATGATGGTCTGAGCCCACATCTGCTCCCCCACTCGATTTTGTGTCCCGCAGGCTGAGTCTGGTGAACATCGGTGTTTATCGCTTCAGATTATACTCATTTTCAAGATCTTTAAACTTTGTATGGGATATTACGCATTCCATATTAGTTTGTTTATTAGGTATATCACACAGTGAAACAGTATTATTTACTGGATGACGTTCCGAACAAAATTTGTTGTTCATAATCATATCAATTGTGATCACACGACTTTGACACTTGAGTTTTATAGTTTTATTTGTTCTCTCCTATTTGTCGTTTGGGTAGTAGAATTTTCCAGATATCGGGGACAGGTGATGAATCATTCCTATTACATGTATTTGTAGTTGATTCGATAAACAAAGCTTCTGTTATCAATCTCTCCCTATACACTGTGACATTAGATTTTAAAACTGTCATCCTATCCCATCGTATTGTATGGCTGTGTGTGACTGCATGTAGTGCTATCATATGAGAATGCAGACCTTTTCAAATCAACCGTTTTAAATTGCTGCCTCGATTACATCAACATCGTAACGTACTTTCCAAAGAACATCGAAAGCAACTGAAATAATTGAAGGATAATGAAAACTTGATCATCACACGACCAGATAAAGGCTCCGGAATTCTCTAGATTTCTTATCTTATTCGGGTCAACCAATCTAGATTTTGCTAGGTTTTTATGTTCAGCTAGTCTGACTGCCCCTGTTCTACTAGTTTGACCTATGTATTTGACCTGACAATCATTGCAGGGTATGAGATAAACTAAATTGTTTTGTTTTAAAGGCTCTACAGGATCCTTTAACCGACAAAGCTTGTTTCTAATTGAGTTTGTGGGTTTGAATGCCATTTTTATTCCTGCCATTGTTAAGAATTCTGCGTAAGGCTTCTGAGGTTCCTTCCTTGTGTGGAATTACTACTGATGATTTAGATTCCTTATTATTGGTGTCGTCATTATTATTACTATCACTATTATTATTGTCATTATTATTGTTATTATCACTATCGCTACTATCATTATTTTATTTTTACATTCCCTTACATATTTCTTGATTAATTTATCCGGGTAATTATTAAGCTTCAAAGCTTCTTTCAAGTGTATCAGTTCCTGTTTTAGATTTTCTTTCGTACCACTTAGTTTTTGTGCTCTGTCATTTAATTATTTCACCAATCCTATTTTTACTGACATAGGATGGGATGATCGGAAGTCTAAAAATCTGTTTGAGTGTGTGGGTTTCCTGTAAGCACTAGAGTTTAACTTCCCACCTCCTTTCCTCTTTACGTTGCAATCTAACATTGGGAGCTCCCCTTCCTGATTTTCCAATTCATAAGTGAATTGAATTGCTTCAACCTTCGAGTTGATGTGTTCGAAAAACCTATCTATATCTTGTGTTCTAAGTACAGTGAATGTGTCGTCTACGTACCTCCACCATACTTACGGGGTGGGGGTGAACGTTTTAATCGCTATGCTTTCCCACCTATCCATGAATATATCTGCTACCACTGGGGATAGTGGTGATCCCATGGCAACTCCCTCAGTTTGTTTGTATATTTCATCTTGGAATTTAAATACTGTGGAAGTCAAGCATAGCTGTACTCCCTGTTCCACTGTGTGATATACCTAATAAACAAACTAATATGGAATTACTTACTACCACAGTGCCCAAGTTTTACACATATATTGATATTACGCATTGTTACATTACCTCAACTTACATGTACTTGTTTTCCAAGCGCTCAACTGTGCGAGTGTACTCCTCTGCAGCCTTATTAAACAATTCTTCATCCTAAAACATGAATGAGAATATTTAAATCAAATTTCCAAACATCGCGTGCAGTATAAATATGCTTTTATGAAAAATAAGTCCTGACTATAACAAGACTCTGTGAGATGCTTGGTCACTTTAATTCAACACAGTTCGTTAGTGGTATTATAAGTGTGATGGGAAAGAGCTTTTAAGGTGTAAATGGGGCTCATTGGTGAAAACACCCAACTTTCAGTAAATGGGTGACGGAGTCCGAGTCCCATTCCACCTCTATTAACCTAAGCGACGAGTAGTATCATCATCACACTATAAGTGTGGCTCTCAACCTAACGCTGTATTAATTACTCTTATTATTCTAAAGTTCTTTTTATCACTTTGTGTACTTTAATTGCCCCTTTATATATATAAATTCATTTGACAAGTAAATGTGTGTTCAGAATGTTCGAAATGTATTGCGCAAATACATCACATTCTCATATAATCTCCGTCTTCTAACAACACTATCCAAATTTATAAAAGGGACTAGTTGTTTTAAAAACTTAACCGTTTGAATCTCTTCTCTTTATTATACCACAGGTAGACACGTTCACCATAAGCTAGAAACCCTCTATACTTAAAATATTTGAAAATCTGTGTACCCAATAAGTCTTCAACAGTAGGCTACTGATTATCCCCACCAGTTTTTCAAGTTGGGCATGAGGCTAGCAACCCCATCCTGTGAAAATATACACTGCTACAGAAACTTCAAGCTTCTAGCTTGAAGCCCTATGTTCCACTGGGAACGTGAAGGAATAAAAAGTTTGTCAAGTAAGCCAAATATATTATTAGGTAAATTGAGTAGATAGTACCTCAACAGCTTAACGTGAACATACAGCACACTAAATTTTGAATTCAATACAAACACCCAATTTACTCTGAAAAAACGATGGTTCTCTAGTAGAAGGAATTAACATGCTACAACACTAGGTTATGAAGCGGGGAGACACGTGTGTGTTGACTGTAGGAAATCAGTGGGAATAAAAGTTAGGAAATGTGAAACAAAACTCCTAATGTCCATCTGACTTCTCATAAGAGCATAAATACAGTAACTGTGACATTAACGAAATGGGAAGTTAGGTGTCATAAGGCAGTCAAATATGTTATCCTGCATCAAACGACTGGAATACGTGAATCATTCCTCTAACACACTTTCTGATATTATAAATGTCAGTAGTACTGCAAATTAAAGACGTAAATAACCAGACTTAGTGTTAAGAGGAGACTTACACGGCGCTCCAGGAGTTGTAGGCTCTTTTCATATCTTTTTTCCGCTTCTTCAAGTTCATGTTTCAAACTCAAGCTATATTTCGCCTTGAAAGACTCAGGAGTATGAACCTCGCCTAAAAGTTATTAATTTAAAGACTGGGAATAATACTTTCTGTTTCCTTTACTGGAGCAGCAGCCTTCCTGATCCTGTTAACTACTTCTTCACTTACCTTAAGAATATATTGTAGAAATGACAACTTACTATAATGTCATCAGGATGAAATGTCACGTCTCGTGTTTGACTTGATGAACCTGCCCCCATAACTATAAAAACTAATTATTTCATAGACAGTGTTTGTCAGCAAAAAGAAAAACACCAGTGTAAAAAGTTTATTATAGTACTTATAACACTGATAATCAAGAAGTAGAATCTGTGATCCACTTGAGATATGGTGGATAACCTCCCTCAATGTTTAAAACAATAACCTCAGGGCATTCATAAGGATGGATTTCCTTCACAGTGTCCGTTAATAATGGTACTATTTTCGACTGAGTTTTCACTATCAGCAATAATTCCTCCGCTTTCTCAAGTTTTCCCTCCCAGACATAGATGGACTTGATGGATGGAACAATATTAACGCAAGCCGCTAGCTTCTTAGTGACCAAAGTACTGGCAATAGATTCTGCAACTGTCGAATTTGGACAAGTGATCAAAGCTACAGAATGTATTGACATTCGGCAGAACCAAACGCTGCGAAAAGTTGAAGCAATTACTGCACCTGTTACGAAACTATACATGTTGTTACATATTTTAAAGCATACACAATACCACGGGACAAACCAAATTGATACTAGGCTGTAAGTACGTCCTTGAGAACATAAATTCCGCTGCATGTAACCCAACGTCCAATTTCATTTTAACGATGGAGTTTGGTTAGCTTATTGTTTGTAAGGCAAAAGTTTCCGATCTCCACTAAAATGTTGTGACGTCTGTCCCACCACCCGCTTTTCGTAGCTTCGACTGACTCCGATGGGTGCAGTAGGATTATGTATGATTCGCCGCATGCGGTGTTTTAAGACAGTGAAGCTGTTGTGAATGCAGGTAACCCTTTCACATATTAGTGGTCCACTGTGTTCGAAAAGTGGGATGTTATTGTTAATAGTAGTAACTGTTGGCGGATAATTAAACTTAAAAGGCAAAACGAGCAGATTCAGGTGCATTCAGGTTTATTGGTTGAGGATAGAGGGCTTGGAGCCAATGTTAATCCTTTTCTAGTAAATTTCTTTGGTTGTCCAAACCCTTCTTGAATGAATCAGTTGTGGCTGCAGACAACACTTATTCTGGGAGTCGGTTTCAAGAGTTTATGACTCGGTGTGAGAACCAGTTCTCAACAGCAGTATGATTTCTTCCTGGCTTTTGAACTCTCCTGCTATGTCCTCTAAGGTGTTACGACCTGAAGAAAAAGAAAAGAGAGAATAGGTCGGATCCGTAGTCATTATTTAAAATTTTAAACGTTGTGATTAAATCTTCTCTCTGCCTACGGTATGACAGGAAGAAGAGATTTTAACTATCTTGTCTTTCCTCGTATGATAAGTAAGCCATGCCGAGAACCCTACGTGTTGCCTTCCTTTGAATGTTTTTAGAATATCTGAGGCCCCTTTAAGACAAGGACAGGCAGCCTGGATGCAGTTTTCTAGTCTTGGCCTCACCAGAGATGCATATAAGGAGGTGAACATATCTTTGCTGATTCTAGTAAAGGCTCTACGAATTACCCATAAGGATCTGAAACTAAGTGCATCCACCGCGCGACGGTGTGCTGTATTTTTTAAGTCGTGACTAAATATGACACCTAAATCCAAATGATTCTGAACAGATGGGAGTTTTATTCCCTCTAAGTCCCCCGCCACGCACAAACGGTTTTACTTACTGATTCACATGCATCGATAGGCTCACCAGGTTCCCAACAACTGCCTACACAATGAGCACAGTGCTTATGGTAACAATTCACTGTTAAGTTTTCCTCGTAGGAACAGATCGTTGCATTGACAGGTCCATATATGAGAGCAAAGTCGACCTTGTCTTCATGGCTTTCGAAAAGATTCGCATTAAGCGCCAAAGCTTCTCCCTAATATGACTTGCTAACCACGCTTAATGGAATACTTTTCACTGTATCTGTGAATAACTGTCAAACTTTTATCATATGAAAGTCTCCGTTGGTGAATTGGGAGGCGTGTTCGGTTGAGAAATCAAGGCATATTTGCAGGGATTGACAAAATAAATGTTTGCATCTTTCATTTTCAAATGACGCATTGTTGAGCGTTAATAGTTCATTCGTTATCAAGAAAATCTTGCGCAATTTAGATGCTCACATTCAAATTTCGGAGCAGTTTCAGCAACTTCCGGTAGAGTTTCTTCACAGGGCACATTATTTAGTAATTAGTGCTCCTTCCAAGAATCACCTGTGACATTCCTAGAGCTCTTTGACAACTAACAACAGTTATGGAGATATTATTGGAAGTATGATTTGCCTGTCAACTGAGGAATTCGAATAAAATACGCCGTCATTTGTCCAAAAAGCATTTGGTGTTGTGAAATATCCGCAGTTACAAGTAGAAGTTGTAAACAGGGCATTCGTGACATATAAGAATGACGCAGTCGGTGCACCGGGTTCGTTGCTGAAGAAGGATTTTTCCACATTGTAACTGACTTCGTATTGTATGCCAACTCAGTAGTAATTGCGCTCCTCATGGTCACACATTCCACTTGATGAGACTGCATATTAGGTTCTGCTAATGTTGTGAGCAATGGAGTTAAGGAGGTTAAGGTCATCTCCAACACTGACATACACAGATAGAAGAAACACTGGGAATTCAGTCATATGGTCATGAACATGCAGTGCATTGTAACTGTCGTGATGAATATGTCGGCATTATTGGCATAGGCATCAATATGTTGAAAAGAGGACGTCAGCGATGGTGAACACTGATGAACTTTGGATGAACTTGTTTATTCGAAGCGGTTTCCTGTTCGTTGGGAGCAGTTATTTCCGTGGTGACTTAGACTTTTGCTCGTTGATAGAACATCGGAGCAACACACGCAGAAGTATTAATGTATATCATGGTGACGTTATGTATAGATGTTTTTAGTGTGTTGATGGTAACCAACTGTGAATCACATGGTTAAGCTGCTGTTTGATTGACTTGCTATATATGTTTATACTTTGTGGATCAATAAACCTTCGACTTAGTGTCTGTCTTTTGATACCGTTGAAATCAAGTTGGTTATTGTATATGTGAAATAGCATTCTGGGAGTTGCTTCTGGCTGCAACATTTTTTCCTTTTAGGCAGTTGTATAATTTCACTGTCTCAGAACTCTCATGTGTGATAAACAGGTTCCAGTATTTATGTTTATGCTTGGGTGCGCTACGAACCACTCTGTTTATTTGTTCGTAACAGTGTTTCTGATCCCTTGGGATAGGACGAGTAATGAAAGGTTGTGTTACTTGGGCAAAATTAACCTAAATTTGTTCGATATAAATTCCAGGTGAGACTGTGGATTTATATGCCATTTCTGAGACGATGAAATTTATACTGGCTTTCCAAACGTCTAGTTGGGTTGGGGTTTCGATCCATCATATTGCTGCTGTGAAGCTGTTAGTGAATGCGGAGTGATTATTTTCTATCAAGGGAGGAAGATTTTCTCTTAGGTCTACTTTGTCTTCTTTTTTCTCTTACCATTTTAGCTTCCATTTGACTTTTTGAATGAGAATGAAGAATGTGGATATTTGACCATTTACGATGACAAATGATCAGCAAACATTATTGGTCCCATATCTTACAATTCCCTCGTGAATTACGCATTACCTTCCCCCACGACGCAACCTGGATTACGGTCGTGGAATATACCTTTATACCGATAAAAATGTATTGATTTATACAACTTCACGACTGTAATTTGCTACATAACTGATCGTGTCTGTAAAAATATCTTGCGTTTCTTGAAAATATCCGTTCATAAGAAAGTACAAACTATCACTATTATTAGTCTACATTGTGAACAATTCACTTGTGATGTTACGATGAAAATGCTGACAAAACTATACAAGTGTATCACTTATTTTAAATTATTACCAAATTTCGATGTAAATCAAGAATAAGACTCGATGTTGCAAACACCAAAGTTATATGGAGGAATTACTTCAAGCTTTATTTTTCCCCAAGTATTTGTAATCCATCCAAAACATACTTTGGTTTGTTTTTGTTAATGCGAAGACAATATTTCTATATTTCTTGATATGCTCCATTGAATGACTAGTTATCACATTGTTCCCACAAACCAAAGACAAAAACGACTGCAACCATATAATTTAACTGTAAACCAAATTTATGTAATTTAAATAATACTTATCCATGCCTGTACAATTGGTGTGTCCTACACAGGTAGGAAAAATATGTATTTTATTAAATTATTATTATGAAATATGCTTACTATTCGTATATGTAATTTATCATATTGATGATGCTTGTAAACTGGTGGCCCTCATGTACAAAATGAGAATATATTATTATTGTTATTATCATGGTGGCGTCGGTGGCACAGTGGTTAGGACGTTTGCCGACCATGCACATGGTCCAGGGTTCGATCCCTGACCGACGCACTCCTTTACCTCGCCAAACCAGTCATAAAAAGCCGGTAAAGCGGAAAAGTTGGGCATGAGGCTAGCAAGCTCATCCTGTAAAAGTAAACTTCAAGTCACTAACTTGAAGCCCTATGCTCCACTTGGAATGTGAAAGAAAAAAATAAATAATAAGATAATAATAATAAAATTATCATGGCGGAGAAACATGTCCAAGATTGCGGAGGAGCCCTGTACGTCATAGAGCGTAGACTTCAAGTTATGGTGGACTAGGGCTAGCGAAATAGTGGATTCCAACAGCTTCAGGAGTTGTCTGAGGATGACGTTGTAAGGCCCGTCCGGTCGACTGTTCGGACACTGACGTCGCCAACTACAAGACTTTAAGTCAAGGATGCTCTTCACAACAAAGTTATATAGGAGAATTGACTTCAAGCTTTATTTTTCCCAGATATTTGTATTACATTCACCTGATGTCTGAGTATTTTGTTAATGTGAAGACAATATTTCTGTATCTCTTTATGTATTACACAAACAGGCTAATTAGCAGACTGTTTCGACTGACTCTAATGTCAGAAAGAACAACCAAACTGTAAATTCAGCATACACCGAATTATGTGTAATTTATGTAATAACTTATCCATGCCTGTGCAAATGGTATGTTCCTGCATAAACAGGAATAAATATATATATCATGTTCAAACTTGGTCTTTGGGGTCTGAAGCCATTGATGCTTCCACGTTGTCGAGAATGAGTTACCTGTAATTGGTCATTTTTGCCTGGGGGAGCTTTTTCGATCCGTCCCTTTTACAGTGGCTGTGTCTCGCATTCTGTAAAGGAATACACAACGCCATTCGCTGTTCTCTTTGCCACCTGCCGTCGGTCGTGGTTACCTAATATCCACAAGTATGAATGAAGCTTGGTCTAAAAGTTCAAGGGTGGCTTCAACTGCAGGATTCTGAACTCTACTCCTCCTTTTCCTTTTGCGAACTGTCGTTAGTCTACTACCGCCTTTTCGTTATGTGTGCTGATGGGCTTATTGGGTGTAATTGGGATGGCATGGGTGTCCGACCTATGGCTGATGTTACCCTATGACGAGAAGCCCCATCCCTGACAATGGCGCATCGAGTATGCTTAGTGTCTTGCCAATTGAGACATTGATGTCTGAGCGATAGTTGCTCTTCTGTGGTAAAGGACCTTTGCAGAGCACAAGCTTTAATGACCTCTCAAGCCTGACACTACCTTCTTTGATAAGGAACTCAGTCGCGCTGCAGCAATCACTACACAGGCAGTTTTCTAGGGGTTTGCAGCAGAGTTTTGTGCTGAAAGGGTTAAGTTAGTGAACATGTTGCGGAACCAGCGCTAATAGATGTCACACTGTATGCATTTGTCTACTGGAAATTCACACATTAGTCCTTCGCAGTGGCTTCCTTCGGCAGAAATAATTTTCTAAACAGAGTGTGGCTGTGGGACTCAAAAATAACCTAAGGAACAGTTATTATATAACCCACAATGGAAAACAATGCGTTTCAAAATATCTTCGATAGACAAAAGCTGTTATAAAAATGCACTTTCCATGAGCAAATAAAGTCAAAATTTACAGAAAAGAACACCAAATTCAACCCGAACAAAATGAGTCAAGGTTGTTCTATAGGCTTTGGGAGAATGTAAAACAACAGAGGTTGTACAAAACATGCGTCAGACCACACCTTGAAGTGCCTACTATTATTGCACCCCCCTGCATAGAAGAGACGCCAACCTCTTGGAAAAAGCCCAAAGACATGCAACAAAAGGAGTGGTTGGCCTCCGAAACAAACCATATGGTGAAAGGCTAAAGAAATTAGGCCTTTTCACACTTAGCTACCGTCGGGTTAAGTGGGATTTGATTACTGCCTACAGAATAACGAATGACCAGAATCACCCAAACAAAGGTGTTCTGCCATTGAGTAGTTATATGCTTCCTCGTGGAAATCCCAGAAGAATAGCTCACCAGAGAGCAAGGACCCGGGTGCGTTCCCACTTCTTTTCACTGCGGGTTGCCGTCCACGGAATTTCTTACCGGCAGATGTAGCTACGCCACCGTCTGTGGACTCCTATAAGCGAAGGCTGAACAATCATGCAGCGACATAAGGACTGCGTCGAAATGGCCTATCCCCTTAAAATCCCATACACCATTCAGGGCTAGACAATTAAATTCGTCGTTATACTTCTTTACATTCTCTCCTGTCTTACTCTCCTGACAACTCTAACTACTACACTTATTATTATTATCACCGATATAAATATATATATATCAACTTCAAATTTAATCAGCTGACTGTTGTCACGTTTTCTTTATTTCTTTTTCTGTCTGTTTGTCTGAATAACTTCACTAATTATATCTATTATTATTACTATTATTATCACTTTTCTTTTGACGACGATACCGGAGGACTAACTGGTGAAAGGATCAACTCCATTCACAGTAGTAACAGTCTTAACACACCTCATACTACAAACTGCATATAATAAATACCAGCACTACTTTTGGAGTCAACCAAAGCTACGACAGTCGAGTGGCGGGACGCGCTACGCAGAAGTTTACAGAAGATCAGGAATCTATACCCTACAATCAAGAGGCGAGCACAAAGAAATCAAATTGGTTTATACTAGCTCGTAAAAACGATAATGGATTAGAATCTGATTTTAAATAAGAGAGTGCAAAATTCACTCTTTTTTAAGGTTGGCACCGAAAGTGAATGCCTACAGGTCGAAATTAATGCCGAAGATCTTGTTTCTGTAAACGCTTACACACAGTAAAGAACCATCGAATGTTACCGCTCTTGCATCACGAAGATTCAAGGCAAGCAGAGGTGGGAAGTTTGTTTTCTCAAGGTCGTTAATCCAGCTGGTTACTTTAGGTGGCAGTATTTCTATATTCACCCGGTGTGAGGTGAATAACTATGTACAGTAATTATGGAAGCACTGCAGCAACGCCTTCACGTACTTTAATAATTTAATACCTATTTAAAATTGTAGAGGTTACCGCTGTCATCCAGGTTTTCGAGGATATATCTTCCAAGATTCTTAAGATACGTTTACTTGGTATGTTATCTCACAAGGCTTTAATTCCTAAAATAGCGAATGAATTGGAAACGCTGAATAAAAGTATCAGCATAACCGGAAATTCTAAAGCTAAATCGGATCTCTTGTAAGTTTCCTGTGACGGCATATATATACATATTTATTGTTAGAAACAAGCGTGAAAAAGATGCCCTGAGACTGGTTGACGAGACTAAAAATCTTTTTATAAATCTTTCTAAGGAGCCGTTATCGGATCAGGTATTACTGTTGCGATAATTCTTATTGGTTTTAGATAACCAAGATTCATGTAGAGAAACTCAGAGTTGACTTTCAGCGGGTGCTTCACCGGTTTCAAAGGACGCAAGCTGTAAGATTCATTTTTCTATTAATAATATCTAGTCTTCATCGATATCATTCTTGATGACATTTTGGAAGCATCTTCATCATTGTCAAGTAACAGGCAAAGTTGGAGTCTAAGCTTAAGTAAAGTCATTGAACTTAAGTAATGACTTAACAGCTACTTGAGAAGGGCATTTTAAAGCCACCATTCTGCTAAGTCAGGAGTTAGTTTAAGAATGTTAATCAGAGTTGAGTCATTTTTTTAAAAATTTAACCTATGCGCTATGGTCTGATTCGTCCTGAACAGATGTTTGTGACCACGTGAAGTTCCACATAAGCTGGGACATAACCTCACTAAACAACATTATTGCGTTCCGTGGAATTAAGACTTTTATTACCAATATTGAGTACGCCTCCTGAAAGGGCTAGCAGCTGATTCCTAAATTGACAACTGTTACATTATTTTTGTCAGTGATTGTTCCGCTTTCTTTCAATCTATACTAATTAAAACGCGAATAAAAAAATTTCAACAAGCGAAAGGAAGTGAAATAAGTTATTTCGTTTTATGTCTATGTATGTACAAAACAACAGTCTTAATCGTCCATGTTAGCCTTATCTTTGTGTCATAAAAACTAGGTTACTTTTCAAAGCAACTACGTAGTTCAGCAATCATAATTAGATTAGACTGAAAGTACATTCTTCGTCGATTTATCCTTGTCTTTTAATCGCTCGGAATTTGTTGGTTTGACTTACATTTGACCTCAAGCCGTATTACTTAGGACCACTAAACTAGATATTTACAGTGAATGTAGTTTGTAACTACCAGTGATTGAGGTGTACATTCTCCCTATCCGTACTCATATACAAGGCTTTTTTGACCTTTGTTTTTCCTCACTTGTATCCTCATCGGATTATGAAAATGAATTAGGAGGAGTGCCATTCCTCGTAGTTAAGGTTTGGTTTTTGCATTAGAAATGCATATCGTGAGTAGGATCAATTTTTGTTATAAGTATACGTAAGCGGTTTTCTTTCAAAAAACTGATAGTCGCTGTTGCACAAATTCTGTAAGGTACGTCATTTATCAAACTTTTAATAGACAAAGTAGAAGCAAAGCATTGATGTTATAGCATGGTGTAGTGTTAAACCGTAGTCTTTAGTTCGAGGGTTCAAAATTCAGTTTTTATGCCCATATGCTAGCAGGCACCGTTTTGACTGCAGAACATCGCACAGAAGTGCAGCTAGTGTTCTATTTGCAACATTTTACAGATGATACCTACCTGGAAAAAAAGAAAAAAATCATAATGAACAGAAATGTATGAAAGAAAGAATAATCACGTGGGAAATAATGCGGCAGTTCACTGAGAGTGAATGCATTTGTGCTAGTGAGAACGGTTTCGAGCCATATCACTAATAGTTTCTAGCCAGTGGTTCTCAGCAACTCGAGAACTCCAACCAAGCAATCTGCACCTCCCTGTATAAGTTAAACCAGCTGTCAAAGACTTCATGAACTGACGTCAGGTTTTGGTTTAGCCATCCCTAACTCTTTTCCGTGCGTCGGTGGCATAGCGGTTAGGACGCTCGCCGACCATGCACATGGTCCGGGGTTCGATCCCTGGCCGACGCACTCCTTTACCTCGCTAAGCCAGAAATAATGCTGGTGAAGAGGAAAGGTTGGACATCAGGCTAGCAACCTCATCCTGTAAAATAAACATTGCTACAGAAACTTCAAGCCATTAGCTTGAAGCCCTATGTTCCAATGGGGACGTGAAGGAAAAAAAACTTTTCCAGTCTGATTCTGTGTCGGCTAACGTTGCTCGTCTAGGAAGGTGGTGGTTAGGCATGTGTACTGCGGGTCCTAGCTATCTCGATCGATGCAGCTCTAGGACTTCATCGATTAAATTTTCCTTCTTGCCTAACAGTTTAAGCCTAGTCTCTATAACTCACCATATCATACCACTTAAAACGGATAGGATGCCTAAACCTATGGTCCAAGACAGCTTACCTTTATATGTCCCACCTTCAATAGACATTCCTCATTACCATAAAAAGGACAAAGTGAAATATTGTCCAGTACATGCGTCCTTTGGTCGATGGCTAGATATCACGTCTGCACCAGAGATGACGTGAGTTGTCGAATACCTCACGTGCTTTTGGTATTCATGCTGAGATTTCGTCAGGAATCAATGCATTAGGGCTGATTCAACTTTCCAAATAAGTGAAGTGGTCAGTATGGTCAAGCATTTCACTACCTATCCTTTAACTAGGAGTCGGTGTAAATCAGTCCTTCAGTATCATGACAGAGACGAATCACATGCGAAATATGTTACTTTTTTGATCAGTGTATACGGAAAACTTCTCATTTCGCCATCATCACCTAGATGAACGATTCACAAATGATCCCAGTCCAAGCATTTATGAAGACAAATTAGTAACTCAGTGAAGATACTCTTTTTGGTTATCTCATTTCTTTTTAGCTGCACAATTACATCTATATAAAACTTTTTCATGAAAGAAGATGGTAATGAAAGGTGTGCATTGGCATAAGCATAGTTACTAGCATTAATCAGTACATTCGATAAGTTGAATAAAAGTGATAGAGTTACGTAGTGAATGAATGAGATGGCCTACATCACCCACACACTCTAAGTCAACCAGACTTCCCAGATAACAAGTTTCCGAAGTCGATAAGGGTCACAACCATCAGTACATTATGATAAAACTGAATAAGGATAGAAAAAATTTGGTATCATTGAATGACATCACTGATTGTCATCACTTCAGGCGACAACTCATTAGTTCTTATACAGCTGCTTGAGTCCCGGTAGTGTTCCTTGTATAGTGTAGTGTTTTCTCTCGGCATTCCGTTCACGGCCAGAATTGGCCACAGTTAACTCCTGTCGATGAAGCGAAATGCCGTCTTCAGGTCCAGAAACATAGCGTGTTGAATGCCGACAAGTACGCTTATACTCCAGAATCTGTATGTAAATGCGGAGTTGTATAATTTTACTCCTAACAAATTCTACGTCACTCTGTGTGTTTTAGCCCAGGTGTGCTACAACTAAGTCAAATATTTTGTGTTCCATGCTCTATTTGTTTCAAGATTATTTGCGTTCTCAAGTGATGGCTTGTATATACTTTAAGACTGGCTTCAGTCGTACTTTTGGCTCGTTACTACAGGTAAAGTAGTAGAAGTCAGAATCACTCTCCACCTGCTTAAATGGAGCTGTGTCACTCATTTAGACATGTCGTTGAGCTATATTTTTTCTCTTACGGTGCTTGAAACTTTTAGTCCGACCACTTATTTTGTGGTTATCTTAAAAGAACATTTTTATAATTTTCCTAAGTCAGGTGTAGAGATGAGCGATAAAAAGCTATTTTACAGGTATATACTCAAAGAAACATGAAAATATGGTATGGTAAAGTACTTAGGTTTTACTTATTAACTATTTTGCTAATGTTGTTATGTATTGTAACCATACGTAGTAAAATGCTCAACTACTTTTTCAGTATAACTTATACATTTGCATAAATGCACTAAATATGTCTTCATAAAGCATTGTCAGTTATTTTGTTTATGGCTATGCGTAGTGTAGAAATAAGTGACTTATTAAGTAATCTTACTTCCAATAATCGAGTAGGTAGTGTGTGTGAAGAGTTTATTACATCAGAGATTAGTTTGTGTAATATAATTGAAAAAATAGTTCAGTTTCTTATTTGACTGCTAGCTAGTCCAAATTATAACTATCTAAACTTATGTTATATATAGGGAGACAGCACTTTCTATCTTTTATCTTAGTATCGTTTGGAGTACACACGTATGTTTCTTGATTTTCCTGTTTAGGAAATACAAAGACGACTACTTACTGAAAGTCGGCCAGCTTCACTCGTTGGTGATTTAATCAGTTTGAACCCGGATGAAAGTGATGAAGCCAAAATCAACCAACTACAAGCGTTCGCATCACAGGATGCTGAAATTCAAGAATTAGGAAGAGTTCTAAATCAGGAAGATCAGATGCGTTCTATTGAGGTGAGCTTTTGAATAGTGTTTTTAGCAAAATAAATTGTAGTTGTGATGAATTGAAAAGTGACTATACTTTTAAGATATTTAAAGCCAGTACATAACATTGCTATTACTGTTGTTTTTTTCAAATTCCACATTCCGTAGAAATAAGTGTGTGTGAACCCTGTTGGAAGTTTGTTAAGATACTCCCATCCAAATCGTACTTCATGCTGTCTTAGAACAGTGGTTACAATAGAACAAGAATAATTGATTACCACATAATATCTAGTTATAATTCTTACAAATATATTAAGAAATCAACAGCTTAGGCTTATGCTACTAAATTTCCCCTTATCAGTAATGACATGAAGGCAAGTTAGGAAATAAATTCATTCATGAAAGTGCTGTTACGAGTAGTGATGAATCATTGTAAGGAAGAAGGAATAAAATAAAGCGAATAATAAAACATGCAGTGTAACTGTAATGGTAGGAGAATAATGATTTGGTAAAATAATGTTTGTTTGCAATTTGATATCTCTACATAGCCAAATTATGTACACCTTATCTTCAAAGCACCATTCGCACAGATCTTCCGTGTTGTGCTACTTCCAGCCCTCATATTGTGTTTCTCTGTGTTCCTTTCACGTCTCTCGTGTATTTGTGCAACGTTGTATCATCGTCAGGTCTATCTCGCTTCTATTTGATGTTTGTTTATGCAGATGAACATCTCTTTATATACTACTGATAAATCTTGTCAGGAGCATACGACACATAATGACACACTGACAATCTAAGAAAGTTGAAAAAATAAGTGCTTCTCTAGACTATAGAGTGTATTTCGTAATATTTAAAACCATAATTTTGTTTCTGATGAAGTCTGCATTGATTACAGTCAGATCCACGCAAACCCAACAACCACTTTCCAACTATAGAATTGGTTTGTTTTATGGACTATATTTAGCTGCTACCTAGGCTACATCGCAAGGCTTCTGCCACCGATCGAAGGCTTTATAACTTACTAGTGTAATTATTCCCAACTGACGTCAATACATTATACTGAATTGGGCACAGGTTATAATTTGAGTGGATCACTACTTAGGGAGTTTCATAGTTTCGAATTGTAAAATCATCAAAGTTACTGGTCTTTATGATTATTTTGCTGTTTTCTTTTTTGAAAGTTTTTAGTGTTAGTCGTTATGGTTATGCCACTAAAATCGTCCTTTTACTACCACATATAAAATGCCAAATGTTTTCTAATATTCTTCAGTCAGTATCCAATACTGGCCTTATACCTGAGTTTTGCGTAGTGTAACAGCTTAAACCGCTGCACTTCTGAGCAGACTTCTACATTTTTAAGTTAATGAGGTGTTTACATCGTATTTTTGACTGCTGCTGGATTTACAGATGAATGAGAACTACTAGAATCTTGTAGGAAGTATTTTAAACAACTGTACCCTATAACTGTTTTGATGTGTGAAATCTTTATGCAATACACAATAAAGAACGTAGTACTTTGATATTCCCACCTAGGTATATGAAGATTAAGATTAGATTAAGAAGTAATATTTTACATATTACTTCACTGTTCCCATCATTCTAAAGAGAAGGGGAAATCAACAAATGGGAGAATGCAACCACCAACCGGATAAAGAACGGTAGACGTAATCATACAGAAATGAAGTTCAGTTGTGTTGAGGAAACAAGCTGAAATGAGTGTATCCGTTTCAGTGTAATCGATGTAGGTTCTTATCGCCAAGTTATAAAATTCTTTCATTTTAAGTATCTCAGGAATTCCACTTTGGATGTCTTCGATTAGTCCTATGACTGAAACTCTTATTTACCCTTACCTTAGTCATTTCATATGTGTGTAAGTAATTGTCCCGACCGATAGGCTGCTACCTTAACGTGGTAGTCGGGTTTGCATATCGCAATGACCCGACAAGTTATACCGGCTGGAACTAATGTTCCTGCAGGTCCTACCATACCAGGATAGCGATCAGAATAAAAGCAGTTACCGGCATAGTGTACGATTTTGTACACTATGCTCTGGGGTTGTCTGTGGGCAAAGTCGTACTGCTAGGGAACAGGGATGTAACAGCAGTAAGGTGTTTCCCTCAGATTGCCAGCATGTCTCTCCACTCTGGAGAGAGGAGGTTAGAAAAGGTCGACCCCAAAAATTGTACATCCCGACTTACCCTACGGTGGTCCGCAATCGGCGGTAAGTTACTAATACGGAACCAAATCAAAAAGCCAGTTCATACAGGCAGTTGTCCCCTGGGCCCTGTGGTCACGCGACACTAATTCTCTTTCTGTTTCAGGTACCCCAAGAATAAATCAACTTCCACGGTGTGAGCAGCCGGGAAGTAACAACCGTCCACACACTTTCAAAGGCCCACGAAGCCTTCCTGATCATCATTCTCCTTTATCCCTGTCAACCTTATCGTCTTGCCTCCCAACCACTGTCTACTATTCTGCAGTCTAGTCAGTCATCTTCATTTCACTGTGACCACAAATAACGATAAGAGCCAGAAAAACACCCCCGGTATCCTCTTACAGTCACACCACCAACTTCATATTGGAACATTTAACGTCAGGACCCTCTGCCAAATTGGACAACAAGCATCACTAGCAAGAACTCTAGCATCTCGAGCCATGGATGTATGTTGCGTTTCGAAAACACGCATACAAGACCCGACTGTGGTTATTCACTTAACTTCATCCGGCCAACAAGGTGAATCTGCGAAATTCACCTTAAAGGTGTCAGGAGACTCCTCAGATAGTTCTCGAGGACTCGCAGGTGTAGGGATAGAACTGAATGTTAGGGCGAAAAATCACTTCTTGACTGGATCCCATTAGATAGTCGTTTGTGTGTAGCCCGTCTGAACGGGTATGTTAAAAAAAGGACTGACGGCATTACTCTTCGTTGTCTTTTCATAGTCTGCTTACGTCCCAACAGACTGCAGCTCGGATGAACTAAAGGACGATTTCCACCAGAAACTGTCTAGTTTGCTGCAAAAGGAAAAACGCTCAGATAAAGTTGTTTTAGCACGCGACTTCAATGTCCAGGCAGGGAAGTTATACCAGACTGAGTATATACGTGGTACGTCCAGACTCTCCTGCAGACGAATCAACAACTGTGACCGTCTTCTACAGTTCTGTTCATATAATCGTCTGTTCCTAGTTAGTACTAACTTTAAGCACAAAGAGAGACACTGTGTAACCTGATGACCTCCATCACCAAATCAACGCTATACGATAGGGTATGGCGAGGGTCAGTAGTAGACTGCCGCTTCTTCTGAAACACGTGCGTAGACTCCGATCACACCCTGATTGAAGGAACATAAAAAAAATTAGCAAAGAGGCAGTTGCACTCCCAACTTTTATCAGGATACTGAGTTCCTATTTAAGGAAGAAATAGCGTAACAAGTGTCTGAGGTCGACAGCAAGACTTCTCTTGAGAAAGCTCGCCATAACTTACAGTTAGTTGTAGACACAGCCGTAAAGGCTGTTTATAACACAAAACCGAAAGTTAGTAAGAACCATTGGGTTTCTACTACCTCATCTGAACTGACTGACGCAAGAAGACTGATTCCGGCGAGCCCCGAACATGACGAGGAGCGAAAGCTGCTCAAACTAACAAGAAGTCTTCGCAACGACCGTGAACATTGGTGGGAGACAAAAGCGAAAGAGATGGAAAAGGTATCTTCGATAGGTAACACCAGACAACTATTTAGACTTATCAGGGAAACAGGTGGCAAAAGGCAAATGATAAGTGAGACAATCTCCAAAAAAATGGCACCGTAGCTAGCTGTCAGGATAGACAACTGTAGCGTTAGAAAGAACACTTCGAGGAACAATTTAACTAGCCTACAGCCACTAAGCATCCAACACCTCACTGAATGGGATAAAGACACAGGTCCTCCATCCCTCACTGAGGTCACGAAAGTTGTCACTAATCTGAAACGAGGCAAAGCAGTCGGACCTGATGGAATGACTCCTGAGGTATTTAAGTGCGGTGGAGACAGTTTACTGTCTGCGTTAACTAAGGTACTAGGAAGCGTCTGGAAATCATAGGAAGTCCCTGCGAGCTGCTTTAAGTCATTGATTATCCCGATATACAAGAAGGAAGACAAGTCTTCCTGTGATAATCACAGGGGGATTAAGTTGACCAATATGGTATGTAAAGTTCTAGGCTTAATAATCATGCGTAGACTTAGTGGTGCTCAGATGAAACAAACACGAGAAAGCCAGGTAGGCTTTAGACCAGGAAGAGGGTGTATCGATCATATCTTCACCCTTCAACAGATTCTGGAACATAAGCATACTTACCAGCGTCCAACAATCATCATATTCCTTCGATTCCGTTGACCGAGAGGTACTATGGCGACGTTTGGCTGTGAAGGGAATGCCGAGAAAATACATCTCACTGATCAATGCACTCTACTCACACTCATGCAGCCAGATCAGAGCCTACGGAGATTTGTCTTCTGAAGTGGCGACAACCAGAGGTGCCCACCAATGTCCCCATTTCTGTTTAATTTCATCATAGATATACTAATGGACTTAACCCTAGCTGAATTCAGAGACTCAGGGACTGTTTTGTCACCAGAGAATAATCTTGTTGACTTAGAATATGCAGATGATACAGTCCTCCCTCCTGGGTGAAGACGCTGACGAAATAGAGCAGAGTCTTCTGAACACCTTGAGCAGCAATCTTCAAATGTTTGCCATGAAACTCACGCGCTCCTGTCAAATGCAATTTGATGCTTGCTACAGGACTGAACTACATCGACTCTTAGCTTAAAAATAAGCAGGTGGTAAAGTGGTTGGTGGGTCGTGTTAACCACTTCACTTATTCGGGAAGTTGCATCAGCCAACACCAGCGGGTTGATCACTGACGAATCCTCAGCACAGATGCAAAGGGCTCGTTTGGCGTTTACCAACTAACGCCATCTCTAGCGTAGACGTGATATCCGGCTGTCCACCAAAAGTTGTGTATACTGCTCAGCAGTTCGCTCTGTCCTCCTTTATGGCTGGCTGTGAGATGTAGCCATTGAAAGTGGAAGAGATGAAAAGCCTGGCTACCTGTCTTTGATTATAGGTATCTGCTTTCTATCTCCCGTGTTGATCATCTTTACTTCTCCTTTATTGAATATAAAAATTCCTACTACTACAAAGTTGAGTTGTTTCATTCATTGATATCAACTGGAAAGAATGAATTGATTTTCCACCTTGGTAAATAGCTGAATTTCTAATTTGTCTGTATTTTTGTTTTTCATGATTCACTTGTGTCAATTTGACAGTGTAATATCAATATCAAACAATGCAAATATTGTCGACTATGTTGTCCCAGTATTATTGATTCATAGTACAGAAACTGATTTGAATACAGGTTTCTATTATAATTGTGTAAGGTTTTTTATATCTACACCTATATATATATACATATATACATATATATATATATATATATATATATTTATATATATAGTGCATATATGTACTTGCTTCCAATACTGAATGTTAATGTTGGTTGTGTGGGCACAAATGGAGTAGCCTTTTGAAACTAATTGAGTCAAGTATTCACTCAAAACTAATTATATTCATTTATTGATGTATCCTGACAATTTTAGAGTGAAACAGTGGCTTGCAAAATTTTAACTGACAGGGGTTTAAACGCTGAGATGATATTATCTTTTCTTTCATAATAAGTGTATCTCATGGTCTCGTGCACACCAGCGTATGCGTGGTACTCAGTCCTGCTTTTTATACTAAGACAAACTGGTCACATGTACGTAAGATGCTTAGGTGGATTTCTTAATTCAATTAATTTTTTTATACAGAACACTTGCAGTTATATTGCCTAATAGGTAACATGTCACAGACTAAAACAATGTTCGGAAATCTTGACAGTGATGTCAGTTTCGGACGTATGAATTACTTTTTGCATATTCATATCTGCAGATGAACGATACTTGTAATCGTAATAACTGGGCTGTTGTATTTGTGTAAAACAGATACATCAATATAAAGTCACAAAGAGTTCATTTTATGTATGTGTACCCCTTTGCTCAAGAAAATTTCTTAAAGTCAAATGTCGAAACTCAGTGAAGATATTCCTGATCTATATGGTTCCCTATGTCTTGTTGTGACTGTATTACAGACCCATAAGTTGGTAAAGACTTTATTTGTTTCGGTGTTGAAGTTTATCTTTTGTAGTATGTAAGAATGCTTAGATCATTTTGATTAATTTGTGTATCCCTGTTTCTTATGATTTTTTAAATTTTTTTTAAAACTTGTTACTTTTTGGTTTCAAGTGGTTTAAGAACTTTAAAACTTCTGTGTTAGCATTTAATTTGGTTAAAAGCAGTATTCTGTGTCCACTTCAATTTGGATAAAAGGAGCTTGTCGACTGTCCATTTTATACGATGTTTTGTCATATCGATGCATGAATGTCTCCCATTACATAGGATTCTTTTGCTCAAGAATGTATGCACGATTTGCATACTTTTAACACATTTGAAGTCCTCTTTCTGTTAACGATGGTGTCAACCATTACTCCACGGATTGAAGAACATTCATCTCAATGAGTAGCCCAACTTACCTGAAAAAATGTTCTACCTCTTCGTGCGAAAGGTGTTTAATCACTCATGTTCAACAGTATAATTCTGTACTTTTAGTAACACTTTTGTGTTAGGAACTCAAGCATCATTCGGAACTGAAGAGAAGCAAATTAGTTAGACATTTTTTGACACGGTTTGAAACATAAACATTCTAATTTTTTGACTAAAGAGTGTTATGATAGTGTATAACTGTTATGTTAATCAAAAACCTTTCCGAGTTTTTGTGGTTGTGACACAGTTATCGAAGAAGTGCCGCTGCATTTGATGACAATCGCAGATGTCTTCTGTAATCATTGTTAAAATCCTGGTTTAAGGTATACTAGTTAAAGCCACTTTTATCACTTTTGGTTGCTCACAACAAACTGAAGATCTGAACGCCGTGAGCGAAATTTCGAGTTTTACAACATTGGTTAGATATAAGTTGTCGCTTAAAAATGGGTGCGTACGGACTCTCAATGACAATAAGTTTACGTATTAAGTAGATTATGTCATTTCTCACCCAGTCAAAGGTGGAAAAAGATGGTAGTGGATTTCAGTTATTCAGCATTGTATTCTATCCCATTTAGTTTGACCTGGGCACTACATAATATATGTGGCTCATAGAATAGGGTTGTACTACACTTACACAGTAGCACAACTGGGTACATGTTTTTATACTGGGTAATGATTCACATTAAGTGTCAGGAAGCTAGTTGTTGTATCTCTGGGGTTCTTAAGCTAAACAGACTGGGGCAGGTTCTGGACTGAAGATCTTTATCATATCCACATTGCCATTCTAGAAATTACAAAAGTAGGACTACTTTTCTGATGAATAAGAAAGTTCTTTGATCATATACAAACGATTGATTCATTGTTATAAACATATTGTTTACGTGGTAAGAGAGAAAACACTATCACAAGAGAATAAGTTCTACAGAAAACTCGAATGACTACCTGAAAATACCACATATATTTTCATACTACTAACTTGTTTTTAGTAGTATTATATTTTTACAGAAACTCATCTGGTGAAGAATGGAGCTCTGAAATACGATGACTATTGATAGCCTCGTATGTTGCTGTTACTAAGTTTGCCTTCATATATGCTGTTATAATTATAAGGTTCGGAGAAGAAAACAGCGTGGTTGGCCCTGTTCAATGAATCCTATGTACAATAAATTTATGACTTCAGATTAATGTACCAGTAGTTGTTATTAAGTCGATAAATCCAGAATGCTTAAATATGATTTTTTTAAGGGCTTAAAGGGAAAATAAAAATTTCAGCAGAATACACCTCTTCAGCTTGTTCATTCTCAATAACTGTGCAATCTCAAACCTTATAAATTTTCGTGCTGCAAGTTAGCGTAGTTCGAAGTATTACTCAATTGGGAGCAGTAAAAACGGGTTAAATTAAACAGAGACAATAATTTTTCAGCATGGCATTAAAAGTTACAAGTGTGATAAGAGAAGAAAATTAGTCACAAAGAGAATAAAAAGTGCAGCTTTACATACTTAGAAAAATATGGTTGCATAATATGTAAAATAATTTTCCAAAAAACTGGAGACGAGAAAGAACAAAGTTGAAGAGGCTGATTTGAAAGTAAAACAAAGCAAACAGAACTCAATTCATGGTAGATACAAGCTTCTTCCGTATATATAGCTCCGGTTTTGTTGTGCGTATTGCTACAGCTTTTGTAGAATTTTTTTCACTTTGTAAATGAGTACAGAAACGTCATCAGTTAATATAACTGTACAACACTGTGTGATTTATCAAAATAAATTCTTATCCATAATGGAGTTATACTCTACCACAGTGCCTAAGTTTTATACTTATATCGATAATTATTTGCTTGAAATGTGACAAGTGTACCTCTGTTGAGGACATTACCGCCCATTTGTAACCTGCTCAGTAGTATGCTTTAACTCGGTTTGGAAGAACACGCATAGAACTGCCATATATATATATATATATATATATATATATATATATATATATGGCTCCACTGGAGTACATGTGTGTATTGAAATGAAAATCTGGATCGTGACAGCATTGAAACCAGCAGCATTCTAGTTATTATTGACTTAGAATATGACAGTATCCAGTGTGTAGCTAAGTCATTCAAACACAAGGTTATGAATGAACTAGCATTTGCACACATTTGTTCTCATGTTTGAATAGCCCAGCAACACGTCTTATGCTCTGTCAGCGCTGACAACCCTGTACTAAGTGAGTTTGGAGATTTCGCGGCTACTCAAGACCAAAAATATCCTAGTTAGTTTGTTGGTCCAGAATTCCTCGGTCTAAACCCTGCTGTGACGTAGGTTCAACTTCAGTCATAATCTTTGTATGCTAAAACCTCTTTTGGAATTGATGAAAATGATAGCAAAGTCAAATCCCTGCATTTCACTTGCTCGTTTGTATTTTTTACTGAGGAAGACATCAATTTTATAACCTTATGTATAGACGTATTTAATCGATTAATTAGTCTCTATATGTTTATATCTTTCCAAGTCTTGAATCAACTAACATTTGTTCATTGTTGTGTTTTTTTTTAAGGAAGATATTGTAAATGTGAATGAAATTTTTCATCAACTTTCCCAGTTGGTGTATGAACAACGAGAGGCTATTGATTCAATTGAAGATAATATTGAAGTGGCACTAACTAATGAACAGTCCGGTCATTTAGAACTTGTTCGAGCTGCGGACAGGCGGGTAAGATTAGTCACATTAAAAATGTAATTCTTAAGTAATTTTATTCTGACTAAAACTCATAGTGAAACAGTATTATTTACTGATGACGTTTTTGAACACAATTTACTGCTCTTTATCACATGTAGGTCATGATATCACTAACTAGTCTTTGTTTTTCAGTGACAAATGCGTACACTTAGAAGCTTCGTGTAATTGATAAGCATTGATTGTAGAAATTAACTTTCCCCTTAGATACATTTCAGTCTTTGGGACCTGTAGTTATACAATTATAATATATCTAGGGCAGATTAGAAAAGGAATTTGACGTGTAACAGCAGAGAGAGAGAGAGACAGCAAAAGCATGTGCTGCTATGAAACTGTAAAGTTTCTTACAGAAGTAAAAAAATGAAAAGAATGCAGTGCTTTCTTAGCATTGATTAAATTGTTCTAGAAGATATAGACATCAAGACATAGTATATCAAGTAATCTATTGGGACTAACAATGATAACTTGTGTTAATACAGAAGCCATTCAAGAAAAGGCAACGTTGGAAAGAACCCAATAAGCAATAGACAACTATGAATAAAAGATGCCTGATGGAGAATGGATGATATCACTAGCCCATTGTATATGCTCACAGTAAACATTCGTCTCGTCCTCCTTAGTCATGCTGTCTTGTTTTCTTCAACATTGTTGAAACATTTGAACTTATGTAATTATTTTTCGTTGTTTGATAGGATCATAAAACTTTACAAGATGAAACGATTTCTATGTATGTAATGCGCTTCAAGTCTACCAGCTTCCATGAAAATCGTGTTTTCATTATAGGAGATTTTTGATAGATTCAGCATTTGAAACATCACATTATTAGTTTTTAGTTTGAGTTGTTTGGAGCAATATAGATTCACAGTTGATTCTGTATTACTTCTTAGTCATACTGGTCACTGTAAGTTCCAATGTAAATAACGGAATTATTCAACTGCTAATCTCAGATTAATAATAATACACAAATGTATAGCTGTTCAATCTTATCGTCAGCCTACTAGGTTTTAACTTGTAATATGTGGTCAGCTATATCAGTGCAAGACTGTCGATCACAGTCTAGTTATGCAAGTTTCCGATCATGATGCCAATATTTATACAATTTTGAATTTACCTGATAAGTTCGCCGTGCTGACGAGATTCAGTAGGCGCGTGAAACTAATATCAAGCTGGGTTTTATGTTGACTAACTCTTAACACATACCGAAACACTATGTATTTATATAACTAATTAGTAAATCTGTTCACACATCGTCTGTATTTTTACCCTATGTATAAATTGCCTCCGTATCTTTGCTGTCAGGAATTACATACAATTAGTTCCCCTTGTAATTTTTGTAAAGCAAAAGCAATAAACATTGTGAGTTGAATCGAATTCAGTTTCATTTTGTGTGCTCTAAATTTCCCAAAGCACACTAAATTAATAATTTGCGTACAATATGATAATATAAAATGTCACTGACATTTATAATAAAGGGAAAAGATACTCCCAGAACGGTGAAATCTCAATTTAAGTTTTACCTCAGTAAGAACAACGCTTGAACATGTTCTTTTTGAATTCTAAGTTCTAGTTCAGTGGATCTTCTCAATTCATGATTAATCCCTACCCAAACATTAATGAAGATAAAACACGTAGTAGTTAAGCGATGAGACTCTTTTCGGCGAATTCATTTTCTTTAGCTGTACAATCGCATTCATATACAATTTTTTCATGAAAGAGGGTAGTAACAAAAATGATGAGTTGTCACAAACATAGTTGTTAATGTTAGTTAGTGCATAAAAGAAGTTGAATAAGTGTATTATCGTTACGTAATAAGATGAATAATTTAATGAATGAGTTTTTATTAGAATGCACATAGAAACGAAGGAAAATATGGAGTTATGTAAGAATTGTAAAGAAATACAAGAGTTATAAGGAGTTAGAAAAGCAAGCATACAAACATCAAGTTAGTAGAAATCAACACGGTTGTTGCCATGATAGTAGAAGTGGTTGCATGATTTTCTTTTCTATACATAACTCTGGTTTTTCCAACTTAATGGCTAAGGCTTCAGCAATACAAAGGAGACAAAGGCGTATTCCCTTTGGTAGGTTATTCTTGACTCTGTAGATTACTTTGGAAGCGGCGTTTGTTGAGATGGAATGACTAGTGTTGATGTTTGATTATCGCACTCCTTATACAGCCACTTTTTGTAGCCATGCGGGATAGTGTTCTTGAACCCTTTTGGACAGGATACGCGTCGAACTACCAATTTATCAGCAACAAGTGAACTTATATATGCACAGAAGTGATCAGATGTGAGATCTTGTCCCTGAAGCTTTTACAGACCAATAGACAACTGGAGAACACTACTCTTAGCGTTGCTACAAAGAACTTTCCTTTCCAAGATACTGAAATTCTTCTCCTAAGGATATCACAAGTTAAGTCTCCCTTGAAATCCAGGTTCATATAAAGTTTCTTTTTCAGAACAAGTAATTTTTCGTTCCTCTGAACTTTTTGTCTCATATTCTTGTCGACGAATTTTGGTGGGTATCCATTTTGGATGAAGATTTCTTTTAGACAATCCATTTATGCTTCCAGGGCCTCAGGACTGCAGATGCTTGGTATCCGGGTGGCAAGGGACTTAACTAGATTTCGTTTTAGTTCAGCAGGCAAGCAACTGTAAAAACTTCTTAGGTGACCGTTCCAACTGGGTTTTCCATGGACTGACCTTCTTAAGGTTCTATTTGGTCGTCTTGGTAATTCTGGGGCCGTAGCTATTGTTGCAAATGATGAAAATGTCATCTACGTACCGTTTATACAGTCGTAAATTACCAATGGACGACTTTAACGCACCATTCTCAATGCTGATCATGAAACAGTCTGCTAGTAATGAACCCAAGGGAGATCCCATTGTATTACCATTCTTTTGTCTGTAAATGGTATCACTGAAAGTGAATTGTACATTGAGAGTACATCTCGGCAGCATTATTTTCAAATAAGTTGTTGGTATTCCAATGTTAAACTGGTTGCCATTTTTATATTTTCATGTAAAACAGTTTCTGTAAGTTTGATATCGGTGAAAAGTGATTCGATGTCGAAGATAGCATGCTTTTGTTAGTAACATTCACATCTTGTATCTAGTCGACGAATTGGAAGGTATCATAAAATGAATATATGCATAGATGTTTCCTCATAGGTTCCAGAATATCATTTTGCAACAGAATGATAAGGGGGACCTGACATATCTAAAATTGGACGGAGGGGATGATCAAGCTTTGTGTGTCTTCGGTAAACCATAAAGCCTTGGTATTATTGAACCTGTCGGTTGGATTCAAATATAGAGATCGCAGCTAATTAACTGGTCAGTTGATATAAGAATAAAACTTGGGCACTGTGGTAGAGTGTAATTCCATTATGGGTAAATTTTTATTTTTGATAGAGTCTCACAGTGTTATACAGTAATATTTACTGATGACGTCATCAGTAAATATTACTGTATAACACTGTGAGACTCTATCAAAAATAAAAATTTACCCATAATGGAATAACTGGTCAGTTTTCATTATTTTCCAGAGATTTGTAAGCTATTTCTCACTTAGTTCAGTTTTGTTTCTTTAGTTGGTAGGTTGAGAAAATTTACTTTCGTCGGAGAATATATTCTTCATTGTCTCCATAGTCTTTTCAATCCAAAAGAACTGCACCAACATCCTTGTCAGGAGGGTTTATTAACAGTTGTATGTTGTCTTCCAACTGTCTTCTTCTCAGTGCTGCTTTATTAGGTGGTTGCAGACTTTAGTTTTTATACTGAGGTATGGATGGCATCACTCGATGATTGTTGATTTGAAACGTTGTAATTCTTCGTCAGAAGTTGGCATCAGATCATTCGTGTAGCGGATTAAATTTTCAAAATGCACATATGAGTATGGAGTTTGCTGACGTTGAAGTTGATACTGTGAGATTTTATTTCCTCACACATCGTATGAATCTGTAAGTGTGGGATTATACTTAAGATAGACCTCAAATGACCGCATTCATTCAATACTTCACCGCTTAATAACCTTATCAGTACTCTACCTAGCGTGTAAGTACTGACAAGCGAAATCAAAGTAAAAAGAATTGATACGGGAAGTGTGTCTTGAAGGGAGTTGTATTTTACCCAAATGAAATGTCAATTTTTATAAATAAAAATGTTATGCAACTTATCTGACGCCTCGACTGGGTAGTAAGCTCGAAGAGTGCGCTGAATGATAGCACAACAAGAGAGCGAACCACGTGTGTACAGTCATGTCGGAAAGCAAAAGATGCTGTGGCGCCAAAAGTGGGTGGATGCGTTAAAACAAAAATTCAAAGGTTCAAGGTGCACTACAAATCTGTTGTGACTAGTTGCTATTATCGTCTTGTATATGAAACAACACTGGGTAATCTCATTCAGGCTTGCACATTTGTCACACGAATACTATTTATTTTGTCACCTGACTACTCATTATAGAAAAAATAATTAGTTAAGATGACAAATCATACTGTAAATTAGAACCGGACAAAACAAAATAATTGAACACACTAATAACAATGTGTGATTAAGATTTAAGGTGGTGAAGAAGGTGGGTTACATTTGACATATATGATGATATGATACGGTGTGAAATTCTGGTAAATCAGTGAAGGGATAGACTGAGAAACAAAGTTGGCATGTATTAAATATTATGGGTAATAAAATGTGAGAAAGATGAACAATCTTTAAGGATGGCGATAAGATGGAACAGGCAATAAAATGGTAAGGAAACAACAATCAATTACGAAAGCAATCGAAGGTGGACCACAAAATCATTCTGTACGTGGTCTAAGCCACGTAGGAAGGTGTAGACTTCCTGGTTGGGGTCCTCGGGACGGTAAAACCAATGGTTGGAAACAATTGGTGACATGGCTCAAAATCGTTCTCAGTGGCTCAGATGCATCCACTCCTTGTGACTTATGATTTCCAATGAAACTTTTGTTCTTCGTTATTACTATTCCTTTGTCTCACACCTCTGTTTACTGTCTCTATTATGCATTTCTCCTACTTTCTTCTCTTGCTTTGTGTGCTATATGGAGTGTGGCGACTTGAACTGCCGCACATATGTGCAAAGTTCTATGTCGAAAACCGACCGACCGACCGATTACTGCTGTTTCTGATTATCGTAGTAATCTACTGTATGTATATATTGTGCAGATGTAAAAGTACTTATTTCGTGTTTATCGTACCAATGAATTACTTCAAACTATTTCCATTTAACAATAATATCATAAATTAAAATTGTACACAAATTTTCAATTTAGAGCACACTAAATGAAACTGAATTCAACTCATCCTATATATTTCAGGATTTCATCATGAGCTGACATCGGTTAGAGAACCTTTGGAAAACCTGCAGGGAGTACTGAACAACCATATGTTTCGTCAGCCTAGTTTGGGACTCTTCACAGCACGCACTCACACCGTGGGATTGGAACCCAGGACGTTTTGTTTACAAGCGAGCTCATACAGGTGTCTACGCAACAACTGTCCAGCACTCCTAGGTTTTCCAATGGTCCTCTAATCGATATCAGTTCATGATGAAATCCTGAAACCAATCAAATCCCTGCACGACTGACACTTGATCATCTAATATATATATATATATATATATATATGTTATGTAGACATTCGACATTTTCTGAAGTAAAATCATGCATTCAAATCCACTGGAAAGTGCTCGATTCTTAACATTTTAGTGTGATATAATAATAAGCTTCAACAAGTATAGCCAACGTATCATTATTTAAAAAAAATTTATTTGCAAAGGTTATTGCAATGGTTGCTGTTTTATTATAATATCGTTTATGTTTTTCCTTTCTTTGTAGCAAAGATCTCGAAAATGTTGTTGTATATTTGTAGCTACTTTGTTTGCTATCATTTTAATTGTGATAATTATCCTATTTATTGAGTATCCTCCGAAACGAACACAATAGAAGAAATTTACACGCATGCTCACAGAAACACAAGTGTCTATACTTCCTCTGTATATATGCACATATAATCTATGCTAACTTGATCATGAATCATTTTTTAATCCTGCCCAGCGTAGTAACAGCTCCTGTCCAGAATAATTTTTACAGTCATCTTATTCGTAATCGTTAAACACGCCATTTTATCATTTTTATTTTTTTAGTCCTAAAACGAAGTGTATAAACATTGACACACACACACACACACACGCTTATACACTTACTAATGCGTAGCTTTGACGTTTCGTATTTCGATAACATACACGAAAAGAACAAACAATCCTACTTTCACACATACACAAATATATTTTATTGATCCTAGTTCGTCTTTGTTACACCTTTATAATGGTTATTATTATTATTATTATTATTAGAAGTAGTAGTAACAACCAAACAACAATGATAGTGAGAATTATTACCATTAATTTTTATTTTGTGATTGAAAGCAAGAAAAACCTCTGTGTCTGTGTCATGGTGTTTTGCGTCTTTTTTATTTAAGAAAATATTTTTCTGCCTACTTGGATTTTGTTCAAATAGCAAACAAATTTCTTTCTTTGATGATAACACTTATCCATTTCATTCTAGTGTGTTCATCTTTTCTCGACTCACTTTCACCTCCAATTCTATTCTTCTTCTTCTTCTTCTTATTATTATTATTACTCTACATTGAGAAAAATAATGAACATTGACTACTAAGCTGATGACTGACTGATTTGTTATTGATTCAAGAAATCTTTGAAAAATCAATTAATTGCCTTTTTCTTACTTCTTTTTGCTTAAGTATTGATTTATAATGGTTTCACGGATTGGTTACAGGATTTCATCATGAGCTAACATCAGTTAGAGAACCATTGGAAAACCTGCAGGGAACAATGGACAGCCAGATGTTTCGTCAGTTTAGTTTGGGGCTTTTCAGCAGTACGCACCCACACCGTGGGGTTGGAACGCAGGACCTTTTGGTTAAAAGCTTAGTGAGCTTGTAGACCATTAAACCACTGGGACCTGATCCAATGGCCAGCGCATGAATTTCAACTTCTGGCAATTTACGACATAGAACTACCACTAGCCAATGTCTTCGGCGAGTATTTGTCCTCATGCCCGGAAGGAACAAGAAACCAATTGGTAAAAGAGTATATCTATACATGATTTCACGTTTTCTTTTCCCTTTTAGTAATAATATATTAGTACTGGCTTCTAAATACAATGATAGCGGTAAATAATGATCATCATAATAACAGTAATAATAATAATAATAATAAAAACTGTGTTTGACGAAGAAAGTAATAGAGTCAATAATTGTAATAGCAATAAGAATAATAATAAAGTCAGTCATCGAAATGGTCATCAGTAAATGTTTCTTTTAGATGAAACCCTATTGAATTCGTTGAGAGTTTGATGGTGTTAAGTTGTGCACACTTGTATTGAGATCACTAGTGTATATATATATATATATATATATATATACTTAGGATCTCTGTCAATCCTTGTTGATTGTCTTGAGGTATATCCGAAAAAAAGAAATATTGTGTATTTAAATATCTCATTTGTCGTGTTAGTTTCTACCTTATCCCAACTAAATACTGCTGTCGGTTAATTAAGATAAATAAAAATTATGGAGTGTTGCTTTCGGTATATGCATATATGATGTAGGTGTGTACATTGTCTTATATGAATGATGAGGAAGGAGGAAGACAAAATTAAACATCAATAAACCAATAGAGATGTAGACATTCACTCCAGTTCTCTTCTATCTTCTTTAAATGTCTCTCTCTCTGTCTGTCCGTTGTCGTTTTGCTCTGGGTCCAACGGGAATGAAATTGTTGTGCCGGTGTGCTAATTAAAAGTGGAAAAATCTTGATTTTTATCCATTTAGGCAAAACAAAAAAATGTGTTGTATATATATATATATATATATTCTTTTCTTTACAAGTAGATCAATTACTGTTTCATTGCATGTGTATAAAGAGAATTAGCTGGTAGATAATGAATAGGTTGTAACAGGTAGCCTTTAGATTCATTATGCTTAAATAAAAAATTTTCCGTTTGGCTTAATTCATTCATAACACAGAAGAGTATCTTGATTTTGCTTGTTAACGTGTGTGTGTGTGTGTGTGTTAAATTAATGAGATTAATATTCAATGAGACAGTGTACTTAACATGAAGGAAGATAACAGTGATAACTAGTTAGTTTGTTTTCAGCAGTCACTCTAAATGCAGTCTACAAATATAAATGCATTTCATATTCATATATTTCGACTCGTCGTTTATTGATCATAGGCTCAGTGGATCATTTTACTGTCTCACATATCTATGTTTTCAGTGTGTGCATATGTATCGTTATTTGACACAATCAAACAAAACTCACCGTACAATAAGAATTATTATCATTATTGGTATCATTTATGTTTAAATTCTTTGTCGTAGTCTTTGTCGAAATCTCTGTTTGAATGGTTTCCAATGTTGTACACTGATTCTTATTCGATATTGGTACTGTTGAAGTTTTCTGTTTGAGTTTTTGAATTTTTGTATGCAGTGGTCCTGATTGTTGTTGTTGTCGTCTTGCCTGTTGTTCTTCATCATTTTGTTGTAATCTAACGCTGGTATTATTATTGTTATTGGCTGGTGATGAAGTTGACTCAGATTTATTGAAGTTTTTTATTTTACAATAATTGATCATATTACTTTTCTTGACTTTATTATTGTTATTATTATTATTGTTATCCCTATCGCATAATATAATATCTGTTTTCTGTGAATTTAAATCAGTCAAACTGAAAGCTTTTTCATGATATGTTAGGGATTCTTTTCGGTGAATAATATGACCAAATGAACTACACTCATCAATATTATTATTGTTGTTTTGAATGTTGTTGTTATTTTTCCTTACATTAATATTATTATTATTATTATCATCATCACGATTGAAGTTAATGCATAAGTTTGGTTGTGAAGCTTGGACTAATTGTACTTGTTCCCAGATATGCTCATGATTCATGTCAATCAAAGGTGTATATTGTCCACTTTTGTAAAGATTATGTTGTTGTAGTGGAAGTCTTCTAATTTGTTCACTATTATTATTGCTTGAATAGTCTTCAATTATTGTCCTACCAAAAGATGATATATTTCGTGAACTAGGATGCTGTTTTGACTGTAATGTTTGATAGGTGTTACCTTTTTTAACAGAAAAAGTAGAATAAACTTCAATACTTCTGCTTACATCAATGTGGGTTATGCTTGTTACACATAAAAGCTGAATTATACTATTAGTTCCACGAAATAATAGGGAACCTACTACAACTAGGAAGCATGGTTTCAATCACAGACGGGACGAACGAAGATGTCACAGTCAGCGAGAATCGGAAAAGCAAGATACTCTTTTACCAGCTTTAAATCAGCTTGGAAATCTTCCTCACTCACTCAGTCAACATAAACAACAAGATTCGAATTTTCAACACAAATATGAACTCAGTCAGTTCTTCTATACGGGTCAGAAACTTGGTCACCTGTCACGAAAACGATTTCCAACAAGTGAAAGACTTTTATCAACAGCTGCCCACTTCGCTGGCTGGCTCGATACTGAAGATCAAATGGTCGGCCGGCCAGCCAGAAAAAATTAGCAACACGAAACTCTTCAGTGGAACAAACCAACCGATTGCTCAACAAATAATATGTAGGAGAAAATGGAGACCAATCGGCCATACGCCACTGAGGAGGCCGTCGCAATGCAGGCCATTGCTCCAGAGGAACCCGAATAGGAAACAACGACTGGGCGTTCGTCGAGAAAGACATTGAGGAGATCGTGTGGTGAGGAGGAGATAAGAGATTATGGGCCATCGTGGGGTCAATCATCTGAAGATGACAGCAGAAAATATAACGAATTAGAGATATGTTGTTGAATCTCTATGTTCCACTCGGAACTCAAAGGAATAATAAAAATAATAACCCACTGGTGTAGACAGACATGCAACAATGGGCTCCAGATCATCAACCTCTTTTAACCTAAAAATTACTTTTTGCAGCTATTTTGCATAGTTTTCTGTATTCATATGTATTTCTGTTTTTTTACTGCTTCTTTTGCCAGTTTTGTGGATTTTTCCTGTAGATCTTCCAGTTTGAGTGACATTAGACATAAATTGTCTGCGTAGTCCAGGTCTTCTTGAGTTTTCTTGTCAGTCCAACGTATGCCTCTTCTCACTCGTCACTATCTGCTACATGATCCAGTCCACCACGATCAGGAATCTCATTGGTGACATTGGATAGCCCTGTCTTCGCTTCAAAGGCTTCACGAAGTCTATGCTGTTAGACAGTCATTTTCAGCCATTGACATTTAACTAATTGAAGTCAGACAGGACTGATTTTATAACAGTTCATAAACCATGGCTGGTGTTGTTTTACATTTACCACATACTTGAGGAACACTAAACGCATATATATATATATATATATATATATATATTGGAGATAAGCTTTTTCAACACTGCTCACCTTAGTCATTTTAAACTCATGCTTGGCATGGAACTTATACATGACATTTTCATTCCTACATTCCATATTTACCATCATTGGCTTACTTGTTATTAAACTAGTTGTTTTTTATGTTTACTCACTGGTGTTAACTTAGATAAGTGTCGGTAAAGTAAACATTTACCTTGTACACAAACGTGAAGTTAAAATATATGGTTTCCGGAAAATGAAAAGTTATTGAAATGTTTTTTAGATTGTCTGACAGTTTTACCTGAGATATACAACTGTGTAGTCCAGATTAAGATATCCAACCTTACTGATTCACTTACCATTCTTTCTCAGCATTACATCTAGTTTCAAAAGCTAAAGACATGAGAAGATTCAAGACATTTCACCCTAGAAACCGTATCACAGCCAATTTGTATATGATGAAACTATACATTAAGTGTAACAACAGAAGACAAGGGCCAGGCGACAGATCGTTTATTAAGGAAAATCAACACATATTTATAGATTTTGATGTACATTATTGTAGATTATTGTTAGTAGAAAATACAGTCTTTTGATTGGTTGTTTCTCACAGAAAGTTAACCTTGCATCTCTTTGTGGCTGTGTCAGATCATCCATATGCTAACTGTATGCGCTTACGCAAAGCCTTTGTTCTGATTTTCTCACCACCAACATTGGGGACGTAAACATTGGCGTCAATTACTGTCTACCAACTTTGGCTAGCAGCCAGCTCTCACCACATAAGTAGTGATGCAGTGGCACCTAGACTTAAATATCTTGAGTCTTTTTTTCTTGTCCTTAGCTTTTGCTGGGTTATGTCAGTTAGCGGTTAAACAGAAGTCTTTTTTATGGTATTGGGTTGTCAGGTGTTTCTGTGCCTACTGAGTGTTTGTTTCTTTAAAATATTTGGAAACATTTTCTCTGAAGAGCAAACAACAACTTATAAATGTTCACTTGTTCAAGAACTTAACTGACTAGAGTTCCATAGAAGCGGTAGACTTAAGTCATATTACACTGTAAAGAAGTTTTGCTTACACACCAAAAGAAAGCGTTATCATAATCAAATAAAAGTATACCTTGTAAAATAATATTTTCCCTTCTCGGCTGTGTATCTACATATCCGTAGAGCTCAGTGTTCTGTTCTTTGTAAATTGATTGTTGTTGTTCTATGGTGCATAAATTATTATTATTATTTCGATTATGTACAAAAATAGGATCATCATGAAGCAAAGTTATTTCACCAGTGTTCAACTTGGTAGCTGTTGACGGTGACGATGACGTTGGTAAAGTACGGAATAGATGACTGCCAGCTGACAGTTGAGGATGTGGTTCAAATAACATAGTTCCGACTGGACAACAGTTGAATTCTTCCCCGGGATGTGATAGTGTTCTTGTGGAAAAGGTTGAATGCGTATGTGAATTACTTGCTATTTCATGTAATTGCTGTGTGCCTTGTGAACCTATATTGTATATATCTTGAACTGTTCTGTCATTTGGGCGAAGAGTCACACCAACAACCTTTGTTGAACAGAAAAGGAAATTACTTAATATAGTTATGTAAAACTCCAGCTTCACAAATAAATATCTCATAGTGGAGAATGCTTGTTGTTTAGAAAGGCCAATATGAAGGATTCCGCATACATGGAAAACATGACTGTAATGAAACTAGTGCGGTTGAAATTCTGTAATGGAATCGACATAAAACTTTGAAGCACCGACGGTCACCTTGCTTCAGTACTCATTGAAATGGAAATGTGGCTTTATTCCCTTAAGCACTTGGTCCTCCGCCTGTGGGTCCCGCGTCTAAGTCCTGTCTTACCTACTTCAGCCCAGTAATTGGGTTGTCATAAGTCCTCACACGATAAGGGTGGCTCACAGCCCAGACGACAGAAAAGCCTGTTCCAGGTAGCTAAGTTCTAATAACAACAACAGATCTCATCGACAATTAAAGAATTGATTCAGGGGTGAAATATCTATTTAGAGCGCCTGACCCTATCTGTTATTATATGTTTGCGAAGTGTCGGTTATAAAAGTTCTTACACCTGACTTTTTCCTATGGACTGAAGTTTATTTGACTTTATTTCCCTATGCGAAGCACAACTACTAGTGACAATTCAAGTAACAATCTCACTTCCACCTCCTCTAACTTGACGTTTATCAGCTTTCCAGTTTATTCCTGTTAGCTAATTATATACTATTAGCTCAGAAAGTGCAGAATGCTCTCCATTTATACTCATAGCTATTATCTCCGGTTGGTAATATAACTAGCTCCACGTAATATTTACTTATTCTGAACTTATCATTATTTAAACGAAATTCCAAGAATATATTACATTTGAATGCAGCATCTATTTAAATCAGTTGAATGTAAAAGTACCCTTTTACCTGAAAATTTTAAAACTAAGAGTTAACACATTTCGCAAACTTGATTTCTGTAAATAAACACTACTGTTGAACATATCGAAGGTTTGTGGTTTTAGTAATTCATGTTCGAGTTTTCCTGCCATTCTTTTGTAGATTTTGATGGAAAGTAATGGCTAACTGTGCACAGTTCTACTTGTGCTGACGGAAATGCTAAGTTTACAAAATCGATAAGTCTCAAGTCTAGAAATTTTACATCGGTCAACTCAGTACAAGAATAGATTATTTTGGAACTAGTTGTAAGAGATTATAAGATGCTCGGTTATATCATTTATCAAGCTTTGGATATCGTTCAGGTAATGGTAATGTGGCTTATGTATCATTTACGTTTATCTTCACTTCTTTTAAGTCCCTAATTTAGTGAGTACATATATCATCTATTTATTGTCGTTTTAATATTCACATTCCCACAAAATTTAGCATTCATTGTATACACGATTAGTAATAAAAGGCAACTTGATAACAAAGCGTACAGATTTGTTCACTGAACTATGAGTTAAATCTCTTGTTTTAGGGTTAAAAATATCATTACCTAAACGTAGAAATCTCAATAAATGAAGCGAACTTCAGATTCATGTTGTTATTGTTTTTTTTTTAACGGAATCGGAATCAGTTAAGAAGATGAGAGGTAGGTAACAGACTAATTATCTTGGAAGACCATATGATATATCAGTGCTTCAGTTCACAGCTGGAAACCAGGACTCTCCTTTCTTAACTTCAAAGGTGTGATTCAGTTAACTAGACGTTAGGCTTTCAAACCTTATTCATCATCTATAGAACGTTCAGGTTACCAAGTACTAGTGTTAGGTTTGATAAAATCAATTTAGCCAATATTTAAGTGTTCAGAACTGTATATGATTCATGAACTATCCATAAAATATAGTACGAAAGGCATATTATATCTATCAAGTTCATTGTGATTGATAAAAGTTGTATGAAAGGTAGACAGTATTGTCAGCTGTGAAATAACTTGCTGCTGAAGACAATAGTGTAGACTTAAAGACTGATAGTTATCTTAAAATTACTATCTAATCTTTATTGCCTTGATCTGTTGTAGACTGAATCATCAAATTCAAAGTGATACATTCGTTGGTCAAAAGGACCGTTGTTTTACACGTCGATGGATGTCCAGTAGCCCTGATGACAACTGTTTAGCACATACTCTTGTCTCGCATAATTCTTTTTAGACTACTTAAAACAACTTATAATGCTGTGTAGCTAGATCAAAGTGACCGTTTTGCTCATATGAAGCTTAGTTCATAAACTATTTATCTATATGTTTGACTTTCGCCAAACTGCTCCGTTTACGGTGAAAGTGCGGTATCTTATTGCTAACTGTGGGTAGAGTATATTACTCAGCATAGTCATTAAAAAAGAGGACATATGGCTATCCTAAGTATTTAACTGTCGCCACATTCATAGTATCAAATCTGGATGAAGTGTGGAATGAGTAATATAAGAGCTAAGCGCACAATCCTAGGTAAGGTGAGTAAGCTTTAAGCCAGCACTACCTAAGATAGCTTAGATATATTTTTATTTTTTATTATAGCTTGATTCCACACCGTATTTTCGGTACGAGTATGGGATTTTCAGCATGTGATATCGGAAGCCCAAATTTTGCAGGCCGAACAATGATATGAGGTGTGCGTCGGCAGGGGATCGAACCCTGGACCATGTGCGTGGTCGGCGACAATCCTAACCACAGTGCCACTGACGCATGCCCAGCGCTTAATTTAAAGTAGAATTCTCATAGAAGGTGGAGAAAGATGACAAGACCGAGATACCGTATCATTCCATAAAGACATTCACTGTCAAACTGAGTGTATGTAAGTCGAGACAGCTAATAAAATGTCTTATAATCAATCACAATAAAGCAGATGCATTCATACCTGGTTCAACTCATTCTTACTGTTTTAATACCCCATATCTCTGTTCTGCGTATTATTACTTTTTATTCGATGGAAAGAAAAGAAAGATTGCAATAATACTCAATCCGATATTAGTGATATTTCATTTGTCAAAGCCCGAAATGATTCAGCTCAAAAAGTTGAATAGTAAATATCACAAGTATCCTTATCATCTACTTCAGCAGATTGATGACATAGGGAATCAAATCAAGTGCCGAGAATCTTAACAGTTGGACTTACAGTCTCTTTTGCTTTTGAAAGAATACTGTGGTAGTATTATATATATATATATATATATATATATATATATGAGTATATTTAATAGTCATCTCAGCTATTTCAGTTGTGCTTACCGTTTGATATTTATTTCCATCCTCATTTGCTTTCGCCTTCTCTAAAATAAATAAAGGGAGTTGATAGTTTTGATTTTTATGTGTAGTAACAAAAGAACTATAAAAAGCTTATGGGTAATCTGATTGATTATGCATTATTCAATCTTACTTTTTGCTTTACCTTCTCGGTTGTTTGTCGACTGCATGAATCACAACTTTTAGCTTTTGGAGTTCAGTGATTACTAGATCACCAATTTTCTTACCCTGTATTCATTTGTATGCTTTAAAGTTGGTTGGAGTCAACACTAAACATGTAGTCTCTTTATTGCAGTAAAGATGTGACTAATTGACTTAAGCACTTTACTTTCAACCAATAGATCCCAGACTTGAATCTAGCCCTCTGTAATTCAGCTTGGATACCGCTCACACAAGTGTGAATCAACTGTGTAGCCTAGTGCATAAGAAAAGCCTGTTGCCAGATCACTGAATTCTTATTTCTAACCTAGTTTCTTCATCTGACGTTAAAACTGACCAATATCAGCAAGGTGAGAACCTTGGTCAATAAGATTAGGCAGACACAGTCATCAACCGAATCGCGTAATCGTCTGGATAGCCCCGAGGCTATAGTAACCAGGCTTCTGTCATTCTTTTCCCAATTGAAAACCCTAATGATTTACTAGGCGAGTCCTAAAACAGTAACTACTTTTTCGTTGGTGACCTTTTCGCAAAGAAAACAATACCTCTCATGTTTAGTAATGAGGAAATGTTGATAAGCATCGAATCAGAAGGAAATCAGCACCCGAAAAATGATTCATTCCAGTGGTTTTCTGCTGATAACTGTAACTCCGCTGAAATAAGGGTATTTACTAGGAAGCTATACAATAGACAAACACTGAAGATCACTGAGAATGAGTATACTGTCTTTATTATCATTCACTAGGTAGTTCTCATAACTGAAATATTATCATTTTTAAAATGTCAAGTGTTTATCCTAATTCGATTGTTAACTAATAGTTATTAGATGGTTGGAGGCAATCGCTAGCGAGTCTTGGACCTAGGTTTCGTGCTTGTTGGCACTCACCGGTCACAAAGGCGTATCTACAATCTTGAAGGAACTCATGTCCCTTCTGAGATTCGAACCCGTGTCACCTAGTGTCGACTGCATTCAGAGACGTTACCACTGAGCTATCCGAGCTCGCCATTGACCATCTGTAGGACTGTATTAAATACTTTTGACTGGACACTAACTAGCGTCCTGTGTCTAGTCGTATTTTTGCTGCAGACTGAATTCTATCAGTCAGTCAAAAATATCCAATACGGTCCTACAGGAGGTCAATCACGAGTCCGAATAGCTGCTCAGTGGTAACGCCTCGGACTGCAGGTGACACTGGGTGATGAGGGTTGGGATCTCAGAAGGGACATGAGTTCCCCTCCTTCAAGGTTGCTGATATTTTTTGTTGACTGGTGAGTGCCAACTAGCAAGAAACCTAGGTCGAACAAGGCTTCCTATCGATTGCCTTCAACCATCTAATAACACCAATCCTGAGTGTACCTTGATGGCGAGCCAGCTAGCGGTATGGTGGCCACATAGCAAACTTGACTGATATAATTCAGTCTGCAGTAAGCAAAGGACTAGGCACATGAGACTAGTTAGTGTCCAATCAAAAGTACTCAGCCATATTCCAGAGAAATAAAAACACTGCTAAACGGCGTTTAATAACCAGTCTTGTTTATTATTATGTGTTTACAAACCTGTTCTAAACGTTTTCCTGTGCTTAGATCTTCACACCCCAAAGTAAACACTTTTGCGACTAACATAAAAGTCAATGACCCAATATAATATTCACTCTACAAAATTTGGTGATGACGAACCATAGGAAAAGTATCAAAGAATTCAAAGTTTCATGAGGTGATCACAGATATTTTTAATTGAAATATATGTTTCTTTCAGGTTCAAGAATTGGATACTTAAACAATCCCTTGTAGCTACAGGCTATCATGATTCCCTCCAGAGTGGAAACTAGAATAGAATGTTTCCCTACAATGCAATCAAGATGAAATACAGATTACTGGCTGTACACAAACACTGTGAATTACAGAGTGCTTGTCAGTCTCTCTCGCTCTATTTTTAACAATATACAACTAATAACTAGAATAATATTTTCTTGTTTTCTTCTTCCAAAACACTGAAGCGGCTTTAAGCTGATCAAGGTGACAAATTTTTAAAGCATCACCTGTAAATAATATCTTTTTATTGTAGGTGTGTCTATGTGTGTTTGAGAAGGAGAGAGAAGGGAGAATAAGGTTAAAATGTTCAATATTTACTGTATCCAATATACAAGAAAGCAAAAAAATGAACTAATGTTAAAGGCTTATTTTTAAATTAAATCAATAATTTCCATTCAGCAATAGTGCAATGAATATAGAGCCATAGTAACTTTACTTGAAATCAGTAATTCCCTTTATGAATTTAGACAAAGCAATAAGAAGACGTAATTTGCCTGAATCGTGTAATGTATTTGCGCAACACTTATTTCGAACAATCTGATCATACACGCAAATTATTCAAGAATTAAGAGGTGCAAAAACGGACTTAGGTCAGGTTAAAAAGGACATGTTGAAGGTGAAAATAACAATGAAGATGAATGACTAAACCAAGTAACAGAGTTAATAGTACGTACATCTGCTATGCTATGAAAACATAGTTTACAAAGAAAGGTTTAGTTTGATGACGAATTGTTTTTGAACGCATAAAGGTGGCTTAAACTTCCTAATTGACAGCTAGGGCTTTCACAAGTTCTAAGATACGCCCCAAACACGTTTTATAGATAGGTTGAAAAGATATGTTAACGTCAACTTTATGTCCTGTCTCTGTAATATGTTTCGCAATAGAGCAGCTAGGTCGCCTGTTCTCATCATCAATGATTTCTGGGGATTATATTTGCTTCTGAAGCCATTTAGGAATATGCTCTTAAGCCAGCCCTTACTTGCAGAAATCGATGAGTCACCCCAATGTATGTGTGGTCACACGCACATTCAAATTGGTAAGTACAGTGGGATGTGACATCACTTTTCGCATGTTCTAAGGGCTCAGATGGAAATATCGGCTTCACATTCTCAATTATTATTATATTAGCTGCATAAAAAGTCTTTTTAATAGCAGCGTTCGATCTTTGTCTAGTTATCAAGCTGCTATGATTACCCATATAGAGTAGCTCGATGTACACGTATTTCTTGTTGACGAGTTGGAGGTGAGTCTTGGTGTTCTGACTACTTTATATCTTCCGATGAACTTGTCTGGATAATTATTATCAACCAGAGTTTGATTCAACTTCCTTTCTCCCTTATCAAGTGTGTCTACAGTGCATGTTCGTTGCGTTCTACTGAAGAGGCACCTTACTAAGGCTCTTTTGTACCGAACGGGGCAGAAACTGTGATAGTTATGATACTGTCCCCTTCATGTGGGTTTTCTATAAATAGATTGTCTTATTGATCCATCAGGCCGTCGACTAAGCAATATGCCTAGGAAAGATAAGCAATTATCTTCCTGTTTTATAGACGTAAGTGATATGCTATTCTGAACTTCATTCATTCTATTTAAAATTGAGATGGCAAAACAAGGCTTATCACTTATGATTGCAATGTCATCTACATGCCTTCTATAAAGTGTCGTATTTTCGATTAAATCCTCCAATAAACTGTCAATGTACGGCATATGGATACATCCAAGTTTATTTTCTCACCTTTTAACTCTTCATTGATTTCATATACATATACATATATATATACCTTTCACAAGTCCGTGTGTGATCAGATTCATGAAAATGTGTTTCGCAAATGCAGAGAAGTTATCCTTTCAAAAACTATTCACTTTTTTTATTTCCTTATTTATCTGTCTATCTTGTTTGATAGGATTCATTGGAAAGTAGGTACTAACTTGATTGAGGAGTGAGTCATGAAAATCTGGTCAGATTAACCGTTTTCATTGTAATAACTTGAAATTAGATGCTTACATCAGTTAAATGTCAGCATGTACTCTGTGTGTATGTATGTTTGTATTTGCCTAAAGAAATAGAAAACTACACTAACACTGTAATTCGAGTAGTTTGCTTAGTTTAAATCAGAAAGAAGGAATTATACACTGGGCGAGAAAATAGTGGAGAACTAATTCAAAGCTTTTTCTCATTGACTTCAACTCAGAATTTCTTAGTTCAAATATGAGATTTGAAACACTTATTTCCCGAAACGAATTCAAAAGGTTAATAAAGCAGAATTTAATGAATTCATCAAATTTCGGTAGAACTTTTCCTCAACTGATTACTACTCTACATACAGGGATATATATTTCATTGGAGATACATTGGGAGATTCAAGACTGATAAGCAAATAAACTACATTGAATGATTCATACAAAACGACACGTGTGAGTGTTTTTCAGGTCGTGTTCAAATAGATTAAGGGAAGAGAGTTCTACCGAAATTTGATGAATTCACTAATTCCTGATAAAGTTTAATTATATTTCAATGGTTTACACACAATGGTTAGTGTATGTAATTGGTAATATTTCGAGCCAGATAACTGCCCGTGATCACAGCAACTGTTGGAATTGTTTTGTAATTCGAAATATTACCAACAACAAAAACTCATCATTGTGTGTTAACCACTGAAATATAATTATACCTTATTTGATCTATTCCACAATGCTCAAACTTTTTACTGGCATTAATTCCTGCTTTATTAAACAACTTATTTTGCCGAATGGTTTTCTAATTATTAGGCAGCACGTGAAACATCCATGGACAGGACATGGAAATACCTTTCAAAAGTTTTGTTCCAATCCAGTGTAAAAAGAACTTATTCAGAACACTGTTCAACAGAGCATGAAAGTTTGTTTTAACAGTACGATTGAACTTGAAATAAAGTCTCTGAAGGATATATTATCTAAGAATGGATACCATAAGAAGTTCATTAATAGTACTCTAAAGAAATGAGTCCCTGCAGAACTATCCAAAGTGTTCCAAAGAAATCTGTCTATATCAGTTTGTGAATCAAAGGAGATCATGTACAAGAGGTAGTCAAACGAGAACTCGATAAAGCTATCAGGAGAACTTATTATGCCGCAAAACTTGTTTTCCTCAGCACCATCGAGCGAGTGCGAGAAAAATTGTGTCTTTTTATTGCTTTGTCTAAATAACTTTACTGTTGTACGGTAGGGGTAATCAAACACTACATCATAACTTCTTTTCTATGTATCTCATGAAGAAAAAATTACTATGAAATAGGGGTGACTTAATCGTGACAAACTAATTTCTCTTCAAACCACCAGTCTGTATTATTGTAAAAGCAAAGATCAAATATATCATAGTCTCATTTCTATCACTGATTGAAGAATATTTTCCTCAGTTTTCAAGCCAACTGAGGAGTAAAGGCTGAGAATCAACACTTAAAAATTAAAACAAAGTTTGGACTATCGGAGAGATGAATGAAAACGGAGAACTCTTCGCCCACTTCTGTGCCTTCAATGAACTAGTGATTGGTGGCAGCGTATACAAACACAAAGATATCCACAAGGCTACATAGGTGTCACCAGATGGGCGAACCGAAAACCAAATTGACTTCATCTCAATCTCGAGGAAGTGGAGGCGCAGCCTACTGGACACAAAAGTAAGAAGAGGAGCGGAAATCGGCTCAGACCACTATCTCGTACAATTAACACTCCAAATCGAATCAAAAGCTTTTAAAGAAACAGAAAGTGCACACCATAAGCCAAATTCAATACTCAAAAACTGAAGTATCAGGCCACAAATAACGTCTTCACTGCAATCATAAGGAAGATGGCGGAGACACAAATCAACACTTACGAAGAGACCAGCGTTGAAAGGCGCTGGAACAGTCTGAAAGCGGTGTGGAGTCAAACATTCATGAAAGTTCTAGACAGGAAGAAGAGACAGGACAAACAGTGGCTCACTACGGGTACATGGAGACTAAAAGAAGGATGGTGAAACAAAAGATTATCTAATGCATCGACGAGCAGCAGAAAACAGGATTTGAATGCAAAGTACAATACACTAAACAAAAGAGTAAAGAAGAGTGCCAGGAAAGACAAAAGAAAACATTATGAAGCTATGGCAAGTGAATCAGAACAAGCTGCAGGCAAAGGAGACCTCGCAACACCTTAGCAAACAATTAGGTCCCTATCCGGCAAAAGATCAAAACAAATTAAGCCAGTGAAGGATGACAATGGGAAGCCAATCACCAAAGACGTGGAGTAAAGGAAACACTAGGCTGAACACTTGAAAAGACTTCTAAATCGACCATCACCTACAACCCACCCAATAATACCGACAGCGGAAGCACAAGTAACAGTGGACATTGACCCTCCGACGAGAACAGAAATCCTGAATGCCATAAAGATGCTAAGAACTGGAAAAGCAGCAGGACCAGATGGAATCCCAGCAGGAGCATTGAAAATGGACCCATAGACATCAGCGGACTTGATGACGCCACTACTGGAGAAGGTGTGGAAAGAAGGCAAGGTACCCGAGGATTGGAAGAAAGACTACTTATTCAAACTACCAAAGAAAGGAGACTTAAGTCAATGCAAGAACTGGCGCGGAATTATGCTCCTGTCCATCCCGAGCAACTTCAACCGGAACAGGTTGGATTCAGGAGGAACAAGTAATGCATCGATCAAATCGCAACAATACGGATCATGATTGAACAGAGCTTGGAATGACAGTTACCTCTCCACCTCATCTTTGAAATGGTTTTCGACAGAGTCGATCAAGAGGTGATCTGAGGAATACTTCGCTACTACTGGGTGCCACCAACAATTATACACCTCATCCAACAGTTGTACGGCAATGTTGCATGCCAAGTAATCCACAACGGGAAACTCATGGAATCCTTCGAAGTGAAAACCGGAGTAAGACAACCTGGCTGCCTACTATCTCCAATGATTTTCCTGATTGTGGATAATGTGACAGATAGCGGGCAGCGAGGAAACAGGCAAAGAGTGGACGCACACTAAAAAATTGAAGGATCTGGACTTCGCCGATGATATTTGTTTGATTTCCTACAAATTGGAAGATATGCAAGTGAAAAGCAACAAGTTGACAGGAGAAGCACCAAAGATAGGCCTTCAGGTGAACATAGAGAAAACAGAGGTGATGAAGATAACCAATCAAACAATAGCAGCAACAAAAACAGACAATAACCAGCATAAATGGGAGAAATCTGAAAGAAGCAACCTCCTTCACCTACCTACCTGCGAAGCATCGTTTCAACTACAGGCGGAACTGACGAGGATATCAAAGCAAGAATCGGAAAAGCAAGGCAAGCTTTCACTACTCTCAAGTTTGTTTGGAAGTCAGCAGCACTCAGCATGAAAAACGAGATGCGGGTTTCAACTCCAATGTGAAGTCAGTGTTACTATACGGATCGGAGACTTGGTGCGTCACGAAGGGCACTTCGAACAAACTACAGACTTTCATCAACAACCGTCTTCGCTTAGTACTATTCAAGATCAGATGGCCAGGAAAGATCAGTAACAGGGATCTCTGGGAACGAACCAACCCAGCAGGAACCAATTGTGCAACAAATATGCAGGAAGAAAAGGGGGTGAACTGGTCAAACTCTGAGAAAACCATCAAGTGACATCACACGTCAGGCCATTGCTCGAGTGGAAAGCGAACGGGAAGTGGTGAGTTGGTCGTCCGAGGGTGACGTGGAGGAAGTCATGTGAAGAGGAAATAAAAGCATGTGGGCAGAAGTGGAGCCAGGTGAAAACGTTGGCAGAGAACTGAACACAATGAAGACGTGCGGATGAAGCCCTATGTTCCTCTAGGAACTGAAGGAAACAATAATAATTGTAATTGGACTGTAAAATATATCGGTTCAGGGAGAATAAGTCTGTTTAAGTGAATACATTCAATCTAGCTAGAACCTTATATGAATAAGCACTGACGAGAGGTATATCACAATTATTATTTCATACACTAGCCCTGTAGATTACTGCCCAGACTGACATCGAAAACCCTAACAACAAAATCTGTAACCAAAAGAACAATGAAGTCATTACTGTTTTAAAAGTTCGAAGAAAATATTCAATGAGATGCTCACTAACGACTGGCCGTATTCAGGTAAGTAGTGACCTGGGGTTCTAGTGGGAAGTCGGAACCAGTAGGGTACAGTAGGTAGGATGTGAAGACAAATACTCGCCGAAGACATTTTTATATCCATTTTTTTAATTTTGATTACAGCTTGATGCCACACCGTATTTTCAGTAGAAGTATGGAATTTTCAGCATGGATATCGGTAGCCCAAATTTTGCAGGCCGACCATAGATATCACGTGTGCGTCGGCAGGGGATCGAACCCCGGACCATGTGCATGGTCGGCGAGAGTCCTAACCACTGTGCCACCGACATTGGCTAGTGGTAGTTTTATGTCGTGAATTGCCAGAAGTTGAAATTCATGCGCTGGCCATTGGATCAGGTCCCAGTGGTTTAATGGTCTACAAGCTCACTAAGCTTGTAACCAAAAGGTCCTGCGTTCCAACCCCATGGTGTGTGTGCATACTACTGAAGAGCCCCAAACTGGACTGACGAAACACCTGGCTGTCCATTGCTCCCTGCAGGTTTTCCAATGGTTCTCTAACTGATGTTAGCTCATGATGAGATCCTGCGACCAGTTCCTACTCAGTTTTCACGTCTCATCGTCAGATGGCTTGGAAGGCAGAGAGAGAGGTGGAGATTTCATCAGAAACAATATGCATTCCTACCATTGGAGGCATCACTTCAATGGAACCCATTTTATTTTTTGTCTAAAAATCAAGTGAAGTCAGAAAACTAGCATTTAACAAACTGATGATAATTAAGACCTGTTTACGTAATGCGATGGAATTGCTTTTTTATCCTCTCTTTCGATATGCATGGAGGATCTGCGTTCAGTATAAATAAAGTGATATGTGGATCTCAGCGAAGCAGTCATGAAATTGTCTAATTCTAGTATAATATTTTTCACATTAAATACACCTAGACATCGGTATCACTTGAAGGGTCTAGTTAATAATAATTAGAACAAAACAAGAACGATAAATGGTACATTTGTCCAAGTTTATTAGCTGGAGGAACTGTATGAAATTTTTCATAATAATTTGTTCTAAAACCGAAATCAGCTGAAGAAGTGATGATAATCAAGTGGTACCATCTACTTGGTTCCGCCTAGCCAATAGGCTGTATCAATAAAAGCCACTTTCCGTGATGTACAGTAATATTCAGCTAGTGACTTGCCACGGGATGCTAAGTGTTCTATATAACTGGCAAATCTGCAATACGTGATATTGTTGAACAGATTCAAATTAATCGGTGATATTGTTTCACAATCAGATCTACCCTATAGTCAAATAAATTCGTAGTGTTCATGAAAATAGGATTTAGTGATCATCACATACCTTTAGAAGACAGTTTTCTAGCATCCATAATAAAACGTCTCCTTAAAATGATCAACATTAGACACAGTAGCAGTACAAGAACAATCATGGCTACAATTAGACCAACAATGGCTGACCAATGATAACTATTCATATTCCTTTGATTTGTAGATATTCCGGGAGCTGATGCACTAAAACTTGCATGTTGATAAACTGATCGTGAATTTTTATCATCTGTCCAAGCATTCGTATTACCTTTTAAACGTCGATTAAAATCCAGATTCCGCTTAACATCAGCAAGATTCATAAAATTATTATGATTATTATTTTCAAAGGTCAGTCCATTCACTGAATTTGCTGGATATACATGCAATGTTAAGAGTGCTGTCGAGGATTTCGGTGGTTGACCTGCATCATTCGCTTGAATCAACAGCTTTACGTCAACTGGCTGACTGCAATCAAGTATAGGATGGATTAAAAATAACTGTCCACTGTAACTGTCAATATCAAAGTGTTCTTCTGTTGGTCCACCCATGAGTACTTGCGATAATGGAGCCCATTTAACATGTCTTGAATTGGAAGAATTTCTTATTTCTATTGTCTTATTAACACCATCTTGTCCGAAGCCTGTTACTTCTTGTACAACTGATTGGTTCACTTGTGACTTTTTATTGTGAGACTCTGAACTTCTTTCTAGTTTTTCTTGACTGCCCAGGATAGTACTACTGCTTCGTTTAACTTTTTTAATTTGCTGCCTGCCACTACTATGACGTATAATACTGTACTCAATATCACCATTACGCCCTGTGTCCGAATCATTTGCGTGTACATGAGCAATAATTTGACTTCCCAACTGGGCACATGATATGTTTAATACACTACCTGTACCATGAGGTGTGGGATACCGGAATTCTGGTGCATGATCATTGACATCTGATATACTGATATGAACAATGGCAGTTGCACGTCTTGGTGGATTACCGGAATCCTCAGCATATACTGACAGTTCATAACTGTCTTTTAGTTCACGATCCAATAAATTCGAGGTTTTACTAAATAATTCATTGGAATGGTATTTGCCAGTATCCATAGTATTTTTACGTACTGTCAACTTTCCTGTATTTTTGTCTAAATCGAATTCTTTGCTTGGTTGACGTAAAAAATACTGAACCTATAGAATAAATGGGAGAATAAAAACAAGTATAGGGACATCATTAGTACAGATGTAAGAAACTATCAGTATATATATATATTCTTCTGCACAGTATGTAGGCGTTTCTCTTTATCTGTTCTCATCATGGAGATTTTTAAACATTTTTTTCTAAGTATCCACTCCAATAATACTGAATATACCGATGTTTCAAGCACGAAACGTCAGAGCACTGATGAAAGTTTGTTCGTATGCAAGAGGAAAAAAACAATATGGTTTCTTCCGGGAAATACTCCCGTTAATACTGCTATCTAGCCTTCTTGTTATCAGGAAATGATAAAGTATTTTCCTTTCTTGTTTCATATGTGAACTCAGTTTCTGGGTGAGTCATACTGAAGGCTTTAAGGAGGACTTTGGTATTGATTTATTCTTTCGCAGTATAAAAGTATCGTTCATATATCTACAGCAGAACTAGAGTTCGCTGAGAAAATTTTTAAGTTTATGATTCTCTAATTTTGACATAAACATACCGGCTAACTGAGGACTCAGAAGGGAGCCCGTCGCTACACCCTCCAATCGACAATACATTTTGTTGTTAAACTGAAACTTCACTTTCATCGTCCAACTCAGTAGCAGTTTCTGTAGTGTTTCAAATGGTTCACATGCTTTCATATCATTTCCTTGCAGAGATTCACAGATGAAGCCAATGGTCTTTAATTAAGGGGCATTAGTGGACAGGGCAGTGACATTCATAGAAAGCATTGTTTCGGAGTTGATCCTGTTATCTCTTACTTCTGTAAATTGGAAGATGTACTTCAAGCTATACTTAGCCACTTTTAACTACAGTGGTTTAAGTATGCCTGCTAAACATCGTGATACTTCATGATATGGTGAATTGCACATGTTTAATTTTGGTCTCATTGTCGATTCGGGCTTATGAATTTTAAGCATCCCACACATTCTAGGTATGTTTAATATCACACAGGCTGTAGATTTTCAAGAATTTGAGGAAGCACTGCATAAATGGATGCTAGAGTTTTCACTGTCTTAGAAAATTCCTTTTCTACTTTCTCTTTATCATCCTTACCGTTAAGTGTTCTGTGGAAGTTTTCAGAATCTTGTAGATTATGACTTCATCTGATCACGTAAATGGTCTAAATGTCTGAACAGTAATACAGATTACACCAATTCTGAGTACCGTTTTTCTGCATCAATATGCGAAACTTTTGATTATTGATACGTGGTCATTTGAATGAAACATACTGATTTTTAAAATATAATTGGTTATTATTCCACCACTGTAGTTTATAACTACATTCAGGCAAAATCAACCGACAGACATTTAACTTACATCACGAACTGGCATCTCGATTAGAGGACTGTTGGAAACTAGGGCTTCCAGGGTAGCTGTTCCATCCTGGTTTGAAACCTTTCAACAGTACACACCAATGACTCAACTGTCGGCTGGATACAAGACCTCTAATTTGCGAGGCAAGCCTATTGACTACTCAGCCGATGGGATAGATCCCAGTGGCCTATTATTCCAACATCTGCTAATTTGCAATATATAGCACCACCGCGAACCAATTTCATAGGTGAGTATTAGTCTTCATACCAAACTTCATCAATATTTCAGTAGTCCGGCGCCGAAAATTTGTACTTTTAGATTCCTTTGTCAGGGTGTGGAATTAGGTTTCTCAAACCAATAGTGGCTGATAAGCTTTCATGTGTAACTGACTATTTATGTAATTGCTTCGCATTCTGATAAATCACTGTAATTGTAATTGTTTTCCATGACTATGCTTCTGTGACTGGTATTCGGCCTCGAGGAACTTCGTATTTATTAATTATAATCATATTTCAATAGCTTACACACAATTATAATGTTTTTATTTTGGTAAAATAAACAAAAATTCCAACAGTTGATGTGGTTATGGGCAGTAATTTTGCTTGAGAAATTGCCAAAACAAAAAGCTTATCATTGTGTATAAACTAAGGAAAAATATTTATAATTAAATTGATCTATTCCGCAATGCATAATCTTCTTACTGACATTAATTTGTGTCTATATATTAACAATGGGAATATCATATTACGATTGTTATTTTTGTTTATTTCTTATTAGTTTCCAGTGGAAATACTAATTAATAATCTAAACACGAAAATTGCAATTACATCTCATAACATATTCAATACTGGACAGCTGCTTCCTCCTAGTTTGGGACTTGTCAGATGTACGCGCCTACCAGTGTTCAAACACAGGACTTCCAGTTACAAGGCTAGCTAGTAGACCATTCAGCCACTGGGATCCAGTCTAATGGGCCATGAATTTCAACTTCTGCCAGTTCGTGGTTTTAGCACGACCACCAGCCAAAGTCATTGGTGGGTGCTTATCCTCACTCCCGATCTGTTGGATCTGGTGGAACCGGGAGGTCTTGGATTCGAAACACGGTGGGTGCTTACTGATGAGGAGTCTCAAACCAGGACGAAACAGCTGTCTAGTATTTCCTGGTTTTCAGTCATTCTCTAACTGATCTTGATTCTTGACGAAATCTGTGATCAAACCCAAAAAATCGAATCCCTACATACTGCTCTTGAAAATATTCCATTCTGTTATCACTTCAGAAACCTCATAAACACTAATATTTACTATAAAATACACTGATCAATCAAATCGAATTATTTGTACAGTCGAAATTATATTTAATTCGATCTACATTTTCCCATCGATTGATTGGACCGAAGTGCTCGGTCTCAGGTTGACATGTCGGCTCCTTGTGCAGATGCACTGACTATGTCTGGTCATGAAACTTGAAGTCAATTGGTGAATGGTAACTAGCAGTGAAATCCAGGATAACGGGCATTTCGTCCTACTCGGTAGTCACCACTGGATGGACCTGCATTCCCCAGTGACTCAGTGATGGTGTTCCCATCGAGGCTCCGACATGACCAAACATCATCGAAGCATCTCCAGAAGAAGCCGACATAACAACCCGAGACCGAACACTTCGGTTCAATCAATCGACGGGAAAATCTAAAATTGAATTAAATAATTAATAAGACTCGTTGCGAAAGAGATGGATTCGTGACCCAAGTGGTCTAGTGGATAACGCTTTGGCGTTTGAAACTATGGGCACTGGGTTCGAATCTCAGTGGAAACGCCATCACTGACTAACTGGGGAATGCAGATACATCTAGACGACCAGTCCTGGATAGGATGAAATGCGCGTTATCCTAAATTCCATTGCAACTCATCATCCACCAATTGGCTTCAAGTCTAATTTGTATTCAACATTTTCTTGCTTCAAATTTCAGTATATCTTCATTGAAGTGAAACAGATTTATAATTTTCTTATCTTTTGTGTACATCGCATAAATCCAGATGACACCAAAATGGCTGATCACGTTACATTTCATTTTTAAACTCTAATTAAATGTCATATTTTTGAATAAACAAGAGGACAGTGTATTTTGTGAACACATCATTTAAAAAACTAAAGCATACACTATTGATTGTGGATGATAAATATCATTTATCATAGTATTTCTTGATTTCATACACAATAACATCAAATTTCAATTCTTAAAGTTATCATTAACAATGAATGAAAAAAGCAAGAACAACAATTTTTGTAGAATAAAATGGTACCACTAAAGGTTCATTAACAAATGCCCAAGGTCTGGAGGCTGGAATGTCAAACAAATCACAGTGGGAAAAAAGCCCGTCCTCATTCAACTTGATATTAAAGGTGAAAATATTAAAGCAATTCTTAACAGAAGATTGAGGACATCAATAACTAGAGTCTATCATGCAGCTAAGCTGGTTCCCATCTATCAAACAACTTGCTCTTTGGTACGATCAAAAGTCAATAGATATCCTTCTCATGTTAACTCCAACTGTGTATAAAAATTTACATGTATCTGCGGGAGCAGTTACTTTGGAAGAACAGAAAGGAGGGCATACCTCCGATTTTCTGAGCATGTGCCAAAAAGCCTATGTCTGAAGGGACAAAATGCTTCCAACAGTGCCATCGTCAGGCATCTCCTTGACACGGGTCATCAGGTGGACGTCGCAACATCGTTCAAAATTATCAAAAGGCAAAAACGTTCATTCCTCCTTAAGTTTACCGAAGCAATCTCCATCAAACGCCTTAAACCCGATTTATCCGTTCAGAAAGAAACACTTGTCAATCTATCCTTGCCCTTATAACTGGATATTTTCACCCTCTTGTTCATCTGATTACGTAATACCGAAAGTGTATGATTATTATTGTTTGGAATAAAGTGTTTATTATTAGCATTGTATCCATGCATTGACTGACTGATTTTTGTTTAAAAATGAACTCTATGTAAGTATGTTAAAATTGTTTCTGTATATAATAATGTCTATGGGCTGTGAGCAGCTGATGAAAAGCCAACGAAATAAGCAATCATGGTACCAGTTCATTCTTGATATAAATATAAAACTTGGGCACTGTGGTAGAGCATAACTCCATTATGGATTAGATTTTATTTTGATAAGTCACACAGTGTTACGCAGTAATATTAAGTGATGACGTTTCGAGCACAAATTATTGCTCATAATCATATCAAGTTACTCACACAACACACAGTTTATTCTGCAAAAACTGTTTTTCTTACTTCATTCGAATTCATCGAGGGGAATAAATGTATAAAATAAGTGAAAATTTTGTTTTTAATTTTAAATCTACAAAGAAAATCTAAAGATACTTTGAAAATGACACTTATCATAGACGATTATCGATTAATTAGACAAATTACAGAAGTTTGAATTTTCAAATCAGTGTGAAAGGGGATTTTCTAGGATTTTGTGCAGTTTTGTTTCACATTTAGTCAATCATAATCGCATTTCACAATTCTCTATTAAATTCATTCTGAATGGAACCAGCATAAAGCTTTTTTTAGGATTAATTTTTTTTCTCTCCAATGGATAAAACATCTGAAAAGCAATTAAATTCTTAAACATTTTAACTCTTTAAAGATTTTCCAAAATAATGATT